CACAATAATGACGTGGAAGACAAATGATATGACGTACAAGACAAAACGATACTTGGAGGTACTCGTACAACCTATAGGCAACTATATATGACAAATACAACATATATATATATATATATATATATATATATATATATATATATATATATATATATATATATATATATGTTGTATTTGTCATATATAGTTGCCTATAGGTTGTACGAGTACCTCCAAGTATCGTTTTGTCTTGTACGTCATATCATTTGTGTTCAAAGTAATTATGATGTTCTTTGTTTCTAATTTTTTCTAGTTCTAGTTTTCTAGTCTCTAATTTTTGAAACTTTCGAACTGCAAATCTTTGCTGTACTCTGGGCATTCTCAGGATATTTCTTGAAGAACTGAATGTGATGGAAGGATTTGAATATGGAGAAGAATATCTTAAAATATTAATCTTAAAATATTAATTAAGATATTAATCTACTAATAGGATATCTACTAATAAGATCACTTCGTCGATATGGGACAATTTAGGACATCCTTACAATAAAGTATAGGGTAAGTTCTACTTTTTAAATTTTTTTATAAAAGTATATTAGTACTGTACAAAATTGTATTCCGTTATTAATACTTGAAATTGTTTCAAGTTATATGTATATAAATTATAACTTCGCAAATAGTATTAGTTTTTGACTCTAAAAATATTGACACTAAAATCGATATATATCTGACAATAAAATTTCCAGACTAAGGCAATAAAGAAACACAAATCTGTCCGAATATTATATTTTATCTTTCAAAGTAATCCTACATGATGTCAGTACATTTGATACATTTTTTATATAAAGGGTCCAAACATTCTTTTTTTTTAGTTCCGTAGTTGAAATGTGTTTAGATCACTAGTCACATTTTTTTGAATATTCTGAAAGTCTTGAAATTAATGTTTAATTTTCATGATGATTTTGGAAACAGCATAAAATCCGAAAAAGCCAGTTCCGGCGATTAAAATAAGTAACTAATCTTATAATCTCAACAACTCTTTTCTTAATCAATCAATTGCACGACAAGAAATGGATTGTTAAGATTAGCCATTTATTTTATCATTAGATCTGCTGCAGTTTGAGATTTACAATCTTGTTCAAATATTAGACATTTTATTAACAGTATTTATAGGTTTGACTAAAAAATCGATTTATGGTATCTGTTGAAAATTATTCTCTTTAAAAAAAAATCTTTATAACGGTAACTAATATAGATAATAATGCAGGATAAAAAAAATCCAAATAAGTGAAAAAAATATATGCCTAATATTTTTGGCTGTATATGGTCTTTCTTTCATTTCACATATTCGATACACTTAACAGGAGCTAACTTTAAGTATATATTTAATAAAGAAATAATAAATAATATAATTAGAAGTGTATAATTGTAATAGGAGAATTAAAGACACATAATATTGTTTTCTGGACGAGTGCCACCACGTAATATCGTCGAATGCGCAAACAACATTTATTAAATGGATGTAAGCACCGTAAAGTATGACATCGAAGTTTGTAGAACCTTCAAAACAAGAGCATTTTATCTCGTTAATGAAACTCTGTATATAACAAGCACACAATAATTCTGCTCTTATTACCGTGGTAAAGTTCTCCAGGGAGAAAATGTAGATCTTGCCGGCGCTTAAGAAACTCGGTCGTACACTTTTCATCATCACCATCACGATTAGCTTTTGCGATCTCATGGATACTTCGTACCAGGTACTGCTGTATCTGCCACATTTCAAAAGAAATTGAATGCAAAAATTAATACAAAATTCTATTTTCTTCTAGCTTTTAGGTATCTCAAGTCACTTACATCTTATCACACGTCTGAATGCTGTGCTCTATTAACTTCTGTCCTTCGAAACAGAGACAGAATAAATGAAACAGTTGAGCGAGAACGTATAATACGTATCTTATTGATATTAAAATATCGCCGTTCTGCTGCGTAAACTTTAATATGAAAAAACACAATTTAAAATTATTTGTATGCTCTCTAAATTCCTTGAAGTGAAATTCTACAGAATGAAAATTAAAGTCATCTTAAGTAAAATAGATCAATTTTTAATCTTAAGGACAAAATTTTACTCTTTAGAGTAAAATTCAATCTGAAAGTTTTAGAAAATATGAAAAACAATTTTATCATAAATAAATACATACTTGCAGTAATGTAATACTTAATCCTATGGTTACTATGATCATTTGCGCGCCAAAAGGTATAGTAAAGGTATTTTCGATATGTTCCACAAATCTATGATAAATGGGAAATAAAATAATCGTAAAAGGAATCTTCGCAAAAATAGTTTTATCTTTAAATGGAGAATATTTTGTATTTTTTTTCTATATATGATGTTATACACTCACTTTAAAGCATCTTGATGTTTGTTTACAAAGATTGCGATTCTTTCGCGATAAGTATCATTAGAATTGTTTGCAATTTTCATTGTTTTGTCACCTTTATTAAATAGATTTTCGAAATAGAATCTATAAACAGTTTGAACAACTCCTTTCTTTCTCTCCCTCACTTTTTCTCTTTTTAGTTTTGCTGACATTCCGGATAAATTGTAAAAGTATTTTGATACTAGATTGGTGCAAAAGAATTGAATCATATTTGTCAAATAAAGTCGAAAGTAAAATGTTAGTAAAAATTGCCGCAGATTTGATCATATTTTTTCCTTTATCTGAAGACAAATTTTTCAATTCCTTTTTTCAAAAAATTTTGATTTTATTATTTTATATAAAATATAAATAATTTTATATAAAATATAAATAATATATATTTATATATCAAATTATTTTAAGTAATTTTATTATTTTATGTAGAAAGCTTGATAAAAAATTATATTCTTTTTATCAAGCTCACAAGTTTCCTTACCCAACCAAAGCCAACATGCTACAAACATGTTCGACGAAAGTCACAAACATACAATCATGAGCGACTATTCCGACTATAGTGATTTCCCAAACAATGATGGAGTGCCAGAAGATTTTATAGAAATATTCCCGAAGTTCCACGAAATAGTATCCTGGATACGGGGGTGTTATGGGACGAGATTCATTAAGGGGCCATATCGCGTCGAGTGCGAATGGCACAAGAGACAATGACATAAACGTAGTGACCGCTAACATACAATATACTGCAATGTACAAAGTATAAATCATGATTTTAAACGTGTATTGGAGACACACGTGTATTTAGATATATGTGAAAAAGAGATTACTAGTACAAACAGCAATTTGTGAAAAAAAATGCATAACTTTTGGGAATAAAACAGAGTATCCTTCTCATCGCTTCTCACCCGTATACACCACACAAAATCGTCTACTGTTCTCTGCGTATAATTTCATAATCTCGTATTCTTCGGAAGTTTTCAATCCCTTCCAGTCGATGAATAAGTGTTGAGTAAGGCTTTTGATCTGACAAAAAGTGGATATTATCAATTTTAAATAAAATAGCATTTATAGAAGTCTAATAAATGTATATAAAAATTGAAAAAATATTGAAATTTTTTTTTCTTAAACTGCTACTTTTAAAATCGAACATATCGAAATAATTGCTTAATTAGAATATATACCGTGCGAATATTTAATTGACACGTGTACACTTTTAACAAAGAAGTACATGTCAGTAAATACGATGTCATCGCCTCGCAAATACATTGCACATTTGTCTTGCACATAAATTGATAAGCAAACTGAAATCATTGGTCGTTTATCATTCTTGCGATAGATTCTTCTCTTTCAAGCATTACATCAATTTACCTGCGGGACGAGTACAGTCCCCATGATTATAGTCATAACACCAACGCGAAATATCCTTGCTCTCGGTTTCAGATATGGCCACGTACCGGTGAGCGATGATATTTTGTAAACGATATTATAGTAATGCCTCCAAGTCTCCATAATTCTTAAGATATCGCGTTTTCACCACAGCAAAGATTAATTTCGAACTTTCGTACGGCTGATCGTTCACCCTCTGATGTCAGACATCAATTAAAATGATATCCCCTTGCGCTAAAAACTGCTGTAAATATCAATTCTCACGAAATAACTTTGTTGCATGTCATGTCGATCAACGACTGGACATAGAATTTATGGGAACGGGTAGTTTGATTCTTTAATATTAATAATGTATAGTACCTCAATAATGAGCGGTTTGTTTTGCACGTTCCCTCTGGAGTGTATTTATCGATGAGAATGAAATAGTGCGATAAAATGAGTATTCTCTATTGACAGAGACAGACTTTTAAATAAGTGTCGTGAGTGTTCGAAGCCTCTGGAAAAGATCGGGAGGGAAAGTTTTTTAGTCGCTTAGCAATATCGATAGCAAAATAAAATTTTATTACTTTTGTTTTGTTACATAATAGCAAGTATAAACATTATTTTATTCGATCTATTATTTGTAATAGTATACTCCTGTGGAACATTTCAGGGATATATTTTACTACATGCTGCCATAATCATCGGATATCGATTACGACACGTCAAAGGACGACAGTAACGTAAAGTACGACATCGAGCTTTGTACGACCTAAATAGAAACAAGCTTTCATGTATCTTCCTTTGCATTTTTATATTTTTATATTTTTATAGCGCTTGTCGTGTTCATTGTTTTACCGTCGTGAAATTTTCTAGAGAAAATATGTATATCTTTCCGGCGGACAAGACACTAGCATCGATACTTTTTCTCATCACGAACATGAGCAGTCTTTGTTCCTTCACGGGTATAGTATACCACGAACTATGATATCTATAAAATTACCATTATATATATAAAATAAACACAATAGAAGTTTATTGATTGCAAATGATTAAAGTTGCTTGTAATAGTTTTTATAGAAAATATATTCTTCATATCGATCAATATATTTTCAACTTAATACTGTCTCTTACATCTTGTCGTGAGTTTCGAGACTATAATCTATCACTTTTTGTCCTTGGAAGCTGAAGCACAACAAGTGAAATAATTGACCAAAAATGAAAACGAAGTACCTCATCGCTTCCGCTAAGTCGTGCAGCTGTATTGAGAACTTTAACACGAAAAAGATAAAGTCTTGTTTTGATCCTTTATTAACATTATAAAATTCTCGTATTTGCTATCTATTAGTAAATCACTCACTTGTACTAAAGTAATACTCAAACCAATTGTAACTATTAAAAGTTGCATAGCGAACGATATCGTAAAGGTACTTTCAAGAAATTGAGCGAATCTATGACAAAAATATAATAATAATTAAATATCTAAATAAAAATCAAACAAAAACATCGCAACTTGTCATGGTTTAGCAAAGATAATTTGTTAATTAGCATCAATATTAATGATTACGTTCAGCAGAGAAAATAGCTTTGAAGAGCAAACTTTCAAAATTATGTTCAATATATCATTTTTTAAATTAGAAGTGGCATAGTGTTCAATAATGATACATATTATAATATTATAATGATACATATTATATACTACTTTGGAATGTTCAAAAAGCATTTTTTCAGCGTCAAATTATTAATATATACTGAAAAAATCTAGACATTTAATGTGCGTTATGTCCTTTAATTAGAGAAAAATGCATTTGTTTAACATTATTAAAAAATGTTTAGCAATTTTGTTTAACATATTACATACTGACTGGCAAATTGTTTTTTTTTTTTGTAAGATGCGTGGTGTAGCTTTCTTTCTCATTTTTTGAAAATTATAAATTTTGGATAAAACGCATTTTGAAAATCTGCTCCTTAAATTTTGTAACTTGAATATAATTGTTTTATACATTTAGATTCAGTAAAGGCAAGATATAACCGAATTCATATAAACGAATTTTGCAACTTGCAACAGTTGCAAAGTTGCTTTCTCCGCTGAATGCAGATAATGAGAGAAATATATGCTATAATCGTTACAAACTCACTGCAAAGCCTTTCGATGAGCGGAAATCGATATCACGACGTTTTTGTGATACATAGCATCCGGATAATTAATCATACATTTTTTCATAGCACTACGTTTATGTGACACGTGCTCAAATCTAAATCTGCAAGTTTTTACGCAAAATATTGTTATGAGAGTTTTGGCAAATTATTTTTCTATCTCTTCCAAGCGAATACACAAGAGAGCTAGAAACTATTATTATATTATATTTATTTTTAGATATAGAGAATTTTATGTTTTCTAACTATAAAAGAAATGCGATCCCTCTTTCAGAAAAAATAATTATTACCCAATAACAGCGAAAAGGCCGCAGATGTGTTCGACGTAAACAAAGAACATGCTATCGTGAGCAATTAATCCGGTTAAACACACACTGCTGGTAAGTAACATATGGAGAAAAATATAATAGAAATATTGATTTTCGTCAACGAAATAGTACGCTGGATACGGTAACATTATAGGGCGGGAAAAATTCAATGGAAATATTATATCCAAGATGCGTGGCACGAGAGAGGTTGTTGCGAATATAATGTTAGACACGTAAATAAATGCTGCAACAAGGACAAAATTTGTAAAAACAAACGTTTATTAAAATTATTTTTTAATTAAAGATTTTATTCCACTAAAAAGTATTTTATATTTTATTTTTATAAGTATGTCTAAATTTCTTCCTCAGAATTTTTCTCTTTTAAAATTCTTATTTAGTCTATATAACATTTAAATGTTCCTTTTTGTCAAATATGTGACAGAAAAATTTGTGTGACAGAATATTTTAATTATTTTAACAAAATAAAATTATTCTTTTAAATATATTTTTCATGGTTTGTGACTGGAGATTTTTTCTAGAAAAAAAAAGTTTTTTCCTTGTGCGACTTTTCTTATACATTAAAATAACGTCAGTTAAATTTTATTGATGTGATTTTGGAACTAGTTTAAAAAATATATCTATTTCTATTTTTATTTAATTTAAAAAACATATCTGAACACAAAGAAAATATTATTTTATTTTAATTTTTTAATTACACAAGATGTAAATTTCGTTGATTTTCAACTAAAATCAAGCTATTACTTACATCCGTATGTCATCGCGTACCATCTGCCTTTCTCGGCATACTTTCTCATAATGTCGTGTTCTTCCTTAGTTTCGAGCATATCCCAGTCTACGAATAAGTGATCTGTGAGATCTTTAATCTAGAAACATCAGCGATATATGTTCGATATTTCGAATGTAATATTCTCAATAATTATAACAACATCGCCAACAAAGTCTAATGCCGCATTCATAGTCAGACTTAAGGCTTTCTTAAATTTATCTTTAGATGCTCAGTAACCAATGAAATAATTTAAGAAAGTCTTAATTTAAGACTCTTAAATATAAGGCCTGACTACGGGCATAAGAGTTTGCAACGCAGCTATTTTTTGACTTTACGAGTAGAATATCAATGCTATTTAATAAAACGTACTTTTTCGCTGTTAAAGTGATACGTGAAAATTTTCAATAAAACCATCATTGCTAACATATATGGAGGTAAAGTTTCGTAGATACACTGCGCGGTTTCGCATACGCCAAATTTTGCCCCCTGCAAACGCATTCACGTAAAGAAAGAAGAATAAAATTGTTATTTTAGAAAAACTAAATATATAAAGATCAAGTTTGAGTCATTATCAATGTTGTTAAATATATAATAAACAAATATAAATTACATTCTAACGGTTATAATTAAATGACTATAATTACATCTAATTAATTTAGTTATAAAAAATAAAATAATAGTACGCAATTTGAAGTACGAAACAAATAAAGTTACAAAAAATAAAATGAATTTATTTATATTTAATAACATTAATAATGAATCTTCTGGTCGAAAAGTATGTTTTATTTTATTATATGTTATTTGAAATATTATATTTTAGCGACTGTAATCTGGCTATTGCTCATGTATTCTTGTGTCACATCTAGATTGTTTTATTATTTTAGAATTATTATAGTACTTCAGTTATATGTACTCATTGCAATCATCTTGTTAATTGTGACTTCAGAAGAGAGAAAAATACATAAAGAAAATTCTTGCAAATTTTATTAAAATGTAAATATTTTGTAATAAAATAACATTTGCAATAAAATAGGTTTGCAAAATATACCAAAAACTCTCCTAATATTCCAGTAATCAATAAACAATATTCAAAATTAAATTATGCCAGAAAATGAAAGCTATATAACAGCTATATAACAGTTGTCGAATTGAAATAAATATGATTTGATTCTATTCAGATAGGAATTTTCGTTGTATTTTACAAGTGTTATTCTCAAATAAAAATATTGTTTATTTGAAAAATATTATTTCTATTTTGCAAGAATTTTTATTATATATTTGCTTCTGATCACGTCATCAATCCAAAGATTCGTGATGAGCGATTTGGAATTTTAACCAGCGCAGAATTTTAACAAATTTCTACCGTTTCTTTCTTCTCTCAAAAAAAATTCTTGACAATAATTAATGTTACCTGTGGAATGACTGAAGAGACTGCAAGTATCATTATAATTGTAAAGTAAATTAGTTTTTCTTTCGGCTTCTGATAAGGCCACTGACCGACTAACGTAAGGTACTTTTTATTGATATCGTAATAGTAACTTCTCCTGATTCCCATACTTCATAAGTACTTCATAAAACGGTCTCCTCGGCACTGTAATGTCGTCTGAATTTCAAAACTTCTCCCGGAAAGTATTTTTTTCCGCAATAAGGGTCGGTTATAAGTAAATTAATATTTCAGATCCTCCTTTCCGCCGCTCTCTTCCCATTGTCGGGGTGCACATTTTAAAACGATCACGTGGCTTTTCTTAACTGACAGGCACTTTCTCTAAGTATGTATGCCTTCCAACAAGCGACACAAATAATACGGTGTGACACAATGGACCATTACATCCTTATTGTTTGCCAATGTTAAACAAAGATGACATGATCACTGTGTCGCACTGTGTCGCTTGTTGGAAGGCACACAATATGTTTCATGTAAATATAACAAATATTAATAGCAGATGCAAGTAAACAGCTGATCTTTTCAGAAATATGGTTGGAATTACGAGTGTGTATTGAGTACGCGCTGGAACATATGGTAGACGTTTGGAATCACATTGAATTGTACTGAACAGTTTCCTTTCGGACGGTATATGTATTTACCTGCGAGATTATACTTACTAGAGCAACGCAGAATGTCTTTGTTTCCAGTTTCTGATACAATTACGTGTAGGTAAGACGATGATACTATAGACAATGTCATGATGATTGCTGTTGGTTTCGATAACACTTATAATTACAATGTAGTATCTTCGACAATACAAAGACAATTAATTTCGTACTTTTTTATCTAATTTTGCATTTGTGCTTATCCTTCAATATGAGATCTAAATAAAAAAATCTTTTTTGGAAGGTAGAACATAGACATAAATAACTCTTACAACACAACTTTGTGCATATCGCGCAATGTTCTATCCAGATTTCTGTTCTAATGGATTTTATGAACATGTATAGGTAATATATCCTCCTTTTTTGACAATGCAGTTCCATTAATAAAAACAGCTTGTTTTACAAATTCCCTCCGGAAAGCACGTATCGCTCAAAATAAAATGAGTATTTCTATTATCTTTTGCATACTTCTACGTATCGTGAATATTTTAAGATTTCGAGGAAAATCGATAGAGAAAACTTTCCGGTTATTCAGAAATTATCGATAGAGACATAATTAATAAATTGTATTATTTTTATAAAATTGTATTATTTTTATTTTATTTTAAATAATAGCAAATATAAACATTATTTCAATCATTGTATAAATTGTAATATTATATATTATTGTGGAAATATATTATATATTACGCTTCAGGGATATTTTACTACATGCTGTCATAATCGTTAGGTATCGATCATGACATGTCGAAGGACGATAGTAACGTAAAGTACGACATCGAACTTTGCACGACCTAAATGAAAATAAGATTTTATATATTTTTTTTATTTACATATTTTTATGACGTTTGTTATATTCATTGTTTTACCGCTGTAAAATTTTCTAGGGAAAATACGTAAATCTTTCCAGCGGTTAAGACATTAGCTTCGATACTTTTTCTCATCACAAACATGAGCAGTTTTTGTTCCTTCACGGGTATTGTAAACCACGAACCTCGAAATCTATAAAATTATACTATCATTACTATTATTATATTTACAAAATGATAAATAAGAATATAATTTATTGATTGCAGGGAATTTTTATAAATATTTTTTTATGTTTAATATATCAATCAAACAGTTAATTCATTTTTTACTTAACCTGGGAATAGTCACATAATTTTTTTACGTAAACAACTGCATAAAGTGTTTTTATATTCCAAAATAAAATTATAAAATTATTATTAACAACATATTGTGTATATTATTGATTGTTTTTTTTTATTTAGTATTTTAGAAGAATAGATTATAAATATAGATTTAATCAATTTTCTAAAGATAGAAAAAAAAACAAATGTTAAATGAAATAAGTAAATAGATTATTATGAATTTATTTAAAAAAAAATAAATAAAGATTATAAGGAACTTTTTTATTATGGATTTCAAAGGAATTGCATATTTAAAGATTCGTAATGAATAAATACCATAAAAAGAAATAATAATAAATATCATAAAAAATATCATAAAAAAATATCTTAAAAATACAACAATCTATGAAATACAATAATTCATAATTATTTTCTAAATTCTTAATTTTTGTCGTTGAATATAAAAATACTCCATGTGAGTATCTCCCGAGTTAATATTGCTTCTTACATTTTGTCGCAAGTTTCGAGGCTATGACTGATCAGTTTTTGTCCTTGGAAGCTTAAGCAGAACAAATGAAACAATTGAGCAATAATAAAGACGAAATATCTCATTGCTTCTGCTAAGTCATGTAACTGCATCGACAGCTTGAATGCGAGAAATATAAGATAATCCTATTTTAGTTTTTACATCACAGAATTCTAGAATATTTGTCTATTTTATATACGTAACTAACACTCACTTGTACTAAGGTAATGCTCAAGCCAATTGTAACGATCAAGAGTTGCACAGCAAACGATATCGAAAAGGTATCTTCGAGAAGTTTTGCAAATCTAGAGTAACAATGCGATACTAATGACTAGACATCGGATTTTTATACAAACATGCACAAAATATGCAAATTTGCACAATATGCATAAATAAATATGCATTTTTAGAATGCTTTTTTAATAAGGCAAATTTCTACTTTTATGTTACTTTCCGATTTACTTGCTAAAAAAAAATATTGCATAAGAATTCGATGTCTACTAATGTCTACAAATAAAAGGCTGTGTTCCAAAAGTGCAATACATCTTTCTGTCTTCATCATTTATTGAAAAATAAGGAAACGCACTCTCGGAACACATCCTAAATATCTAAATAACAATCAAACAAAAGTATAGATTATCAAAGATCATTCTAGTTAAATAGCATTGAGATTAAAAGAAAAATATGTTATAATATTATTACACACTCACCGTAAAACTTTTCGATGAGCGCGAATTGAAAAAACGACGTTTCTGTGATACCCGTCATTCAGACAATCGATTAGATTTTTTTCCATATTACTACGTTTGTGTGACACATTTTCAAATCTAAATCTGCAAGTATTCGCGCAAAACAACATTATTAGAGAGTTTTTGAAAATTAACTTCTACTCTCTTCCAAGTAACATACAAAAGCTAAAACTATTGTTACATTACATTTACTCCTACAGAAAATTTTATTTATCTTCTAACTAGAAGAGATCTTCTTTTCGATATAAATAATCATTACCCAACGACGGCGAAAAGGCCGCAGATGTGTTCGACGTAAATAAAAAACATGCTATCATGTGCGATTAATCCGGTCATACACATGCTGCTGGTAATTAACATATGGAGAAAAATATAGTAGAAATACTGATTTTCGTCAACAAAATAGTATGCTGGATACGCTAACATTACAGGACGGGAAGTATTCAATGGAAATACAATATCCAAAATGCGTGGCACGAGAGAGGTTGTTGTAAATGAAATAGTAGACACATAAACATACGCTGCAAAAAAAAACATACAAAGACAAAATTTATCAAAATGAGTTTATTTTAAAGAATTATTTTTTGATTAAGAATTAGGATGCTGAAAATATTTTATTTTTATAAATATGTGTAATATTTCGTCAGAACTCCCTCCCCCCCTTAATACCTATTAAATACATATTTCTATTCTGTCGAATAAAGTGTTTGACAGAATGTCTCAATATTTTTTATTATATGTATAATATTTATTATTTGTGTAAACAAAATAAAATTGTACATTCAAATATTTTCAGTTCGCGCTAACTGTTTCAAGAATTTTTTTTTATAAAATATAAAAGTTCTTTTCTGTGCAATATACATCTTTTATACTTTGATGTTATACATTGATATTATAAAGTATTGATCGCTTCTTTTTATAATATAATTACCTTGGAATATTTTAATTAACTTAATGTTTTTAATTAATTTAAACTCCCAAGTGTAAAAGAAAATATATTATCTTTATTTTTTTAATTGCATAAGGAAATGAATTTTTCTTCCATTTCTTAATTAAAATCAAGTAATTACGTACAGCCATATATGAGCGCGTACCATCTGCCGTTTTGAGCATATTTTCTCATAATGTTGTGTTCTTCCACAGTTTCGAGCATATCCCAGTCTACGAATAAGCGATCTGTGAGATCTTTAATCTACAAACATCAGCGATATACTCGATACCTCAGATGCAATATTCTCAACAAATATATAAAATTTCCTCAAGAAGATCTCTTTTGCAAAGGAACTATTCATGTCTGTGGCTTAAAATTAGAAATGTCGACACCATTCATATTAATTGAACATACTTTTCGGCTGTTAAATTGATATGTGAAAATTTTCACCAGAATCATCACTGTCAACATATGTGGTGGTAAAGTTTCATAAATACACTGCGCGTTATCGCATACGACAAATTTTGCTATCTGAAAAATGCGATTATATCTATTTGTAATTTTAATTAACAAAAAGATTATTCGAATCGGCGCAGAATCTTAATAAACTGTTACATTAATTTTTTTCTTTTCTGAAATAAAGATCTCGATTATGTTTACATTACCTGTGTGACAAGTGCAGAAGCATCAAGAAGGAGTATAAAAATCAAGAAAGACAAACTTTCTTTTAACTTCTGATAAGGCCATTGGCCGACTAACATCAGATACCACTTACTAATATCGTAATAATAATCTCTATTATGTTCCATACTTCACAAAGAAGTAGTCATGAATTGTGTCGCGAATTCGAGACTTCCCTCGAAAGAGCTTTTTCTCATGATATGTGTCAGTTATAAATAAATCAATATTTTAGATATTGTTCTATACATTCATGTTCTTTCCATGCATAATTGCATAATTGCATAACTCGAGCGACAGACATTTACGATAAGTATATATCTGGCAGAAGTATAACATAAGTACTAATGATAGGCGTGAGTGGACAGCGTTTGATAGCTGACTTTGAGAAATTCTCTACTGTCTGAATTACGAGGATACGAATACGCTGAAGAATACGATAAGTATATTTTATAACTCCTACTGAATAGTTCAAGTCTTCGAGTTACTATTCGCGACAGATAAAAATCGACAATATTAAACTCTGACGAGTGTAGTTTTATTTTTTCAATTATATGGGAGTGTGCATTAATTTTAAAGGATTTTTAAGAAATGGCGTAACTAATACTATCGCATCGGGCCATATTGTTGCTACTTTCATATTCAAAGCATCATGCAATGTTGTTAGAGGTTTCAGATCGCGTCCAATATAACTTCAGTAACCGGTTACTAGTAAATAGATCATTAGTCGTCTATGTAAAATTTTTTCAAAAATGTTGAAAATTTTAATATATTTTACATATCCAGCAAACGAGAATGGATTAGAATGGATTGAAATTTTTTTTCTATTCGAATGCTTTAGAAAAAATAGCGAATACTTTCTTTTGAATTTAATTGGATTCAATTGGATTCAATTGGATGCAATTGGATTGAAAAACTGCATTTCCTATTCAAAATTTTGAATTGAACAGTGTTCACAATTGTATTTGCATGCACAAAAAAAGCTAATATTATTTTTAGATTGAAAGACATAGAGATATTCTCCATGCAATTCCTATAAATGAATAAAAATGCATTCAGAATTGAAAAGCATTCATTTTAACATTCGTGAATCAATATTTCTGAAAATCTGAATCCATTTCAATTCATTTCAATCCATTCTCATTTATTGGATACATTACTGAAGCTATATTGGACGCGCATGCGTTTGAAACCCAGGTCGTCTACAACATTGCCATTATGTGGCTTTAGTTTTCAGTATGCGTCATTTTGCCGAAGTGTAAACATTATTTTTTTGAGCATTGAGTATCGAATTTTGTGCCAATAAAATGCAATTTGTCAGAAGCTTTGCTTTTTTGCTTCCATTTGAAAAAAAGTACGAAAGTCAACGAATGCTGTCGGAAGCTTATAGTGATTATACTCCATCGATTTCAATATGTGAGTACTGGTTTCAACGCTATAAAAAAAGGTGATTTTGACATGGAGGACGAGGAACGTCCAGGTCAGCCGAAAAAAGTTTGAAGATAAGGAAGTGGAAGCTTTACTCGATCAAGACCCGAGTCAAACGCAAGAAGAACTTACAGAATCATCAAATGTTGATCGATTAACGAGACTTTTAAAGATCATTCTGAATGATTCAAAAGCAAGGAAATTGGGTGCCGTACGAGTTGAAATCAAGGAATGTCAAAAGGCGTAAAATAACCTGTGAATTGTTGCTCCAAAGACACAAAAGAAAAAGTTTTTTGCATCGTATCGTGACGGGTGATGAAAAATGGATACTCTACGATAATCCGAAGCGCAAAAAATCACGGCGCAGGCTAGGCGAACCATCAACGACAAAGTCGAATATTCATGGCGCCAAACTCACCCGCCGTATTCTTCAGATATTGCTTCTTCCGATTATCATCTATTTCAATTGATGACTCGTGGCCTGTCTGAGCAGTGCTTTCATTCTCATAAAGATACCAAAAAATGGGTCAATTCGTGGATAGTCTCAAAAGATGTGTCGTTCTTTCGATGTGAAATCCATCTATTACCAGAAAGATGAGAAAAAGTAGTGGCTAGTGATAGACAATATTTTGGATGATCAATTTGTAACCATTTTTTTACAATAAAGCCGTATTTTCATCAAAAAATCCCCTAAAATTAATGCACACTTCCAATATATGGAAAAGTGTTACATGGTGACTTGTCAATTTAATTTATTACTGACATCACACGAAAATGGGAGCACGCAAAACGCAAAACTTGATATATGATAAATGTATAGATGTTATTTATTTGATTATTTTAATATGCTGGATATCGTTTTTTTATAATAGATATTTTTATAATTAAATCTATTATCATTCTTCATGTGTACAACGGCTTTTTAAGTATATCTCCAAAAATAATCAAGATATTTCATTATACATAAAATTCACGGTAAAAATGCCTTTATTTAATCACGTCAACAATATTTTGAAAAAGTAATTTTCATAAAAATCTCCCTTTACATATCTTACTTAAAAAAATATTTAATATATTATAAAGCTATAAAAAAAGATGTTCCTATTCTAAATATTGCACAAGGAATGTAAGAGGAATCTCATGTTCTTTCTCATAAAAATTGATCTACGCAGTTCGGCAGCTCGGAAAAAAAGAGAACATATTTCTTGATTTTCAATTTGTGCATATTAAATATTTCTTCATAACTTGTAACTCTCTGTGAAACAATGAGATTTTAAATTATATTTAACAACGATTTAATAGTGTAGGTAACTCGCATGCATCAAAAATGTATTTATTATTTTAATCACACAATATTTACTACTATAATATAATTGTGATTGCACAAAATGCACAATAATACTATCCGAATTACATATTGATCATTAATTACTGGAAAGACGCAAGTACGATAAAATATGACACAGAAGACTTTACAACCTTTAAAAGAAAAGCATTTTTAGACTTCAAAAATTTTAAAAGAATGTCGTAATAAAATGTAACATGCAAAAATAATTTTTACCGTGGTGAAGCTCTTTAGAGAAAAGACAAAAATTTTGCCGGCACTCAAAAAATTCGGTTGCATGCTCCTTTGCATCACGTACAGAAGCAATCTTTGCGATTTCGCGGGTATATATTGTACCAGGAACAATTATATCTGCAATTTTGTGTCTCAAAAATCATCGAGCTTTAATTTAATAACATAAAATAAAAATTATTAAAATAGGATTATTTCTATTAATTGATTTATTCTCATAGGTTTAATTTCCATTTATAATTTGTAAAAATCAAATTGTCATCTTACATTTTGTTGCGCATTTGTAAGCTGTGATCTATCAATTTCTGGCCTTGCAGACTATAGCAGAACAAATGAACCAGTTGACTAATGACGAATGCCGTGTATCTCATCGTTTCCGCAATTTCTTCTATTTGCAATGCAATCTCGAAGGCGATAAATACAATATTTTAATCTCTCCTGATATTAAGCATGCAAATGCGAGCGACAACGTGACACGAATCTATCTCAAAAAGTGCGAGTACCACAAGTTGAATTGCAATAAATAGATACGTACTTGTAGCAAGGAAATGCTCATCGTAATGGTAACTATCATTATTTGTATGCCGAAGGCAATGTAGAAAGTATTTTCAAGAAGCTTCGCAAACCTACAGTAAATAAATGTTGTGATATACGTCATTAATTACTTGTTGTTTTTTTATAAGGGGTACCCTAAAGATTTATAATTTAGAAGAAAATTTTTTTAACATTTATTATAACTATTGTAACAACTAATATTATCAGTAAATAATTAATTAAATAAATATAAATATTTGAAAATTTTCTCTCTCTCCCTCTCTCTCTCCTGAAAAAATGCAAGCTTCCATTTGTCAAATTATTCATCCAACGACTATTGAACTCTTTCGAATATTTTTATTGTATCAGAAATAATGATAAATGCATTCTGTTCATAAATTAAAAGTTTATAATTTTTTAATAAAGCATTTTCGAATACAAGTTTATATGCACTCGATCTTATTAATACGTAAGTTATTCTCGGCTTTAGCGGACACATTGCACATGTTTTAATTAAATATTGCAGTCTCACCATAAAGCTCGCTGGGATTTTTATTCATTATGTCGTGATCATAACGTGATAAAGTCTCAAATCTAAACCTAAAATAGATAATTCCGCTCCTTCAATTAGATGCAATTAACAGAATAGTAGAGAAATAACATTTTATGAATGATAAGATGTTTTCCATTTGGTGACACAAGTCGATAAAAGTTCTATTATCTAACGATATCGTTCTATCTTTGTTACTCACTGAATGTTAAGAAAGACGAATGATGCTTTTGTCAATTTGTATCAATAAATGGAAAGCACCACACATTCTTACCCAGCCACAGCGAAGATGCTGCAAACGTGTTCGATGTAAACCAGAAGCATGCAATCGTGCGCGACTATTGCTGTTAAAGATATCTCTAAGCTAACGAGAGCGTGGAAGAAAATATAGAAGAAATATTTTTCGCCGTCTACGTAGTAATAAGCCTCATAAGGCATAAATATGGGTCGGGATTCATTAAGAGGTAATATGACATTCATTATGGGCTGATATAAGGCTAATTGATATAAACGTACCGGAAATTATGTAATAATATACTGTACCAAAAAAAATAATTATCCATTATTAGTTAAAATAAAAATGAGAATAATCGAACGATTTATCCTTACAACAATATGCCAAAGAAAGCAATCTCGCGTTCGCGGCGATAAGTTTTCATAATTTCGTACTCCTCTGCGCTCTTCAACTTTTCCCAGTCGCTAACCAGATGATCAGTGAGAATTTTTATCTAGAAATACTCTCAATGTTAAATCTCATCGGACAGTCCACCGACGATCATAAAAGACCGCGATCGCGAATAATAATAAAAATTCGAATAATGATTTTTTTAGCAATATATAGTATAAATTTCGATATACTTTTCTTCTATTAAAGTGGCACGTATACAGTTTCACCAGAATCATAATCATCAACATAAGCGCTGGTATCGTTAATAGAATACATCGTGTATTTCCATCGCATTGAATAAGTTTGGCCACCTAAAAATATCGTTATTACAGCACATCTTTAAAAGATATTGTATTAATTTTAATTCTCATCTTAAATTCTAATTTGCGACCATTTTCACAGAATAAAATTCTATTTACTTACATTACAGATTTTCTATGTCATTTATTTATAATTTTTACCCAAGAATTTGATTCTTAATGTCAATAAACAGTCAAATTTTGTAATAAAAAATCATCGTTTTTTGACTTTTGTGACGTCAAAATAAAATCATTTTGACTTTCTCTTGATTTGATTATATTATATGTTCCTTGGGTGTATGCCACTTCAAAGTGCATTTTATATACTTTATATAGATATATAGATATATATATATATTTAGATATATATCATTAGATATATAGATATATATTTAGATATATAACATATAGATTTCATAAAGTCATAAACAGAATTCAAGGAAGAGCTGCGCGGTATACGGATTATCTCCGTAGTTTTATACATCATTAAATGTCAAGTGTCGTTACGTGAACATTGAAGTTTACTTCATTAGAGCAAGAATCCTGATATTGTATCAGGATACTGAAACGATGGTATTTAACGATGTATCAAGACACAAAGATAACCCGCAAACCAAGTAGCTTCTTTAAACAAAAAATATCCACGAAAGTCTAAAGTATCGTACACAAAATTCTATCCTGAATTTATGTTCTGAATTATATCCAAAGTGAATTTAACAGATGTAGACAACATTGCATATCGTACTGTAATTAACTTTTTTATGCATTCTATTGATTATTAGATTAGAATTAATATGAATACGTGATAGAAATGTTACTCAGGTAGAACAACAAAATTACGTTAAAGTAAATAATTGAAAAGTGACTTTTAGTGATCATTTTGGAGTCATTTTGACATAATTTTGATATAATTTGTTGTTCTGCTTGGGTACGAAAAACTCTGGAACCTGTGGAGCGATCAGCGAAACAACGGCTATAGTCAACAAGCTCATTCGGAACAATCTCATTCCCTTTTCTTGATAAGGCTATTGGCCGGCGAGTAACAGCAATTTTTTTGTAACATTAATCCCATAATATTTCTGCGCCGATTCCATAATTTTCAAAACAGTGTTTCGCCTTCGGTGGCACGCAGTCGACTAAATTTCTGGTCTTGTTATGAGAAACGAATTAATATTTTATCAGGCATGAAGAGAGAATATATTATATAAATATATGCGGAAACCTTTAACGTAGCAATCTTCTATGTCTCGTAAAAAATGGACACAAATAGTTGTCTGTCGATGAACGAGGCGATTTTTTTCCCAGAAACATATCGATCGGAATGTCCACGAAGAAAATAAGTTCCTACTGTACGTCTGTACATTTAGCTGCAAGATAAAAACTATGATGACTGTCATACATGTGTCTTGTAGATTGTCTCTGACGTGCAATATTCACGCTCTATCCTCTTACGGAAATAATTAGCACGAGAGAATGGCGATCAAACATTACCAATTTCTTAGTACCAAGAATGATGATATGCTCTTCCTTTTTAATTTTTTTTTACGGAAATATGTATGTTAAGGTTGTGTAAAAAATCGAAACGAAAATCTTTTTGATTGATATCGACAACAAAATAAAATTTCAATAATTTAAGCTCAATAAATAATAACAAATATATATATTATTTTATTCAATATATAATTTGTAATATTATACTTCTGCAAAACTTTTTTCATGAATATTTCACTACATGAATATTTCGCTGCTTTAATCGTCAGGTATCGATTATGACACGTTAAAGGATGACAGTAATGTAAAGTACGACATCGAACTTTGCACGATCTAATGGGAACATTTAAAGATTTTATATGTCTTTTTTAATCTATATATTTAATTATTTAATCTATGTATTTTAGTAATATTTGTCATTATTTTTTACCATTGTAAAATTTTCTAGCGAAAACACATATATTTTGCCGGCGGTTAAGGTACAAGCTTCGATGCTTTTTCTCATCACGAACAAGAGCAATCGCTGTTCCTTCACAGGTATTTTATACCATGAGCTATGATATCTATACAAAATCATCGTTATACATAAAAAAATATACGTAATAAATAATAAGTTGCTCTGAGAAATAAAGTTTTTGTAAGTAATTCTATAGAAAGTACATCTTTTATACCGACCAAGTATTTTCTTTTTATATACATATTATTAATTATATAAAGCTAATTAATTTCCAATTCAATCTCTTACATGTTGTCGCAAGTTTCGAGACTATGATTTATCAGTTTTTGTCCTTGGAAGCTAAAGCAGAACAAGTGAAACAATTGAGCCATAATGAAGACAAAATATCTCATCGCTTCCGCTGAATCGTGCAGCTGAGACGAGAGCTTGAACGCGAGGAAGGTAAGGCCCTGTTTTAGTTCTGCGTTATGTGTGTTACGGAATTCTTATATTCATCTATTTATGACTCACTTGTACCAAAGTAATGCTCAAGCAGATCGTAACTAACAGGATTTGCACAGCAAATGATATCGAGAAAGTATCTTCGAGAAGTTTAGCAAATCTAAAAATACGATATTGATGAGACGACTTAAACATTTAAATAAAAATTAAATCAAAATTCCTTATTATGATTTAGTAAAGATTATTCTAATTAATTAATTTATTGGGATTAATAAAAGAAAAATGAGCTACGACATTATTACGTACTCACTGCAAGGTCTTTCGATGAACATGAATCGAAATTACAATGTTTTTGTAATATATGTAATCCGTACAATCAATCATATTTTTTTCCATATTACTACGTTTATATGATACATGCTCAAATCTGTATCTGCAAGTATTTATGCAACATAACATTGTTATGAGAATTTTTGAGAATTAATTTCAGTCTCTTCCAAATGAACGTACATAAGCTAAAACTATCATTTACTTCTTGGTAAAATATTATTTATCTTCAAGCTATAAAAAATGTAATTTTGCTTTTTGTATAAACAATCATTACCTAACGATGGCAAAAAGGCCGCAAATGTGTTCGATGTAAGTAAAAAACATGCAATCGTGTGCGATTAAGCCAGTTAAACATATGGTAGAGCAAATTATCATATGGAGAAAAATGTAGTGAAAATATTGATTTTCATCAACGAAATAGTATGCTGGATATGGCATCATTACAGGACGAGAAGTATTCAAGGGATCTATGACATCCAAGATGCGTGGCATGAGAGAGGTTGTAGTAAATGAAATGGTAGATATGTATACATACGCTGTAATAAGAACAGAATTAATCGATCCGATTAAAAATTTAAATTAAATTCCTTATTTGTTAAATAAACATTCGATTGTTAAAATTGTTTCGCACTTTCTTCTTCTTATAATGCATCGATTTTTCATCAGAATTTTTTCCTTTTCATTCATATTTTTTAAATTATATAATATATGTAATATATAAATGTACCAGTTAATGGCTATGTATAACCCAATTATATTGACAAAATGACAAAAACTTTAAATGTTAAGATTTTAATGATATACATATATGACTCTAAATAAATTTGAGTTAATATTAATAATAACGGAAGCAGATCCGATAACCTTGACATATGTTGTGACATGACCCTGAGAAGTGTAATAAAAAGCTTTTTTTATAAGCTAAAAAAATGTTTAAACTTTATTTTACAAAATTATAATAAAACAATATTATTAACTATATTAAAATATTATTAATTATATTAAAATCAAATTATAAATAAATACATATACAGATTGAAATATGTATGTACATGTGGATACACGCGTGTATTTATTTATATAAAAATAAGAACACATGATGAACTGTGATAAAAAATAAATTCCTTTATAGAAAATTCCATAATAACTCAAATAGTCTTTTAAGAGAACAGGATATACCAGAATGAAAATAATTAGTATATGCATTTATTAAAATGATATTTTTATTGATGTGACGATTGATAACTTGCATCATGCTTTTATTAATATGTTGTAGCAAGTGCAGTATATTGTTTAGTAAATAAATATGTTTATTAGGAATAGCAGATATTTTTAGTCAGTTGATATTTTTGCTAAAATTTTACGTTAATGCATACATCGACTCTATAAATATACGTACTTACTAAATTTTCTTGAACATTATATAGTATCTACACATTGTGTGTGATATTATTTATATATTTACAAATAACCGTGTTATAATTTTAATTTTTAAACGAGTAATCGGTATTCTTCCTAAAAAATAAATTTTTATTCATATGCACATTTATATAAAAATTTTGCATACAAATAATATTCTTTGTTCTTTATTTTTTTTATTTTTTTTTGTTCTTTATTTAAAATTTTGTCATTTCGTCCAATAATTGGATCATGTGACTAACAATCCACTTACTGGTACAACAGTTATTTTATAACTAAACTGCGGATATATTTATGTAAAATACTTAACTGAATATTAACCATCGGACAGTTTTAGCAGTCGATCGTCGTTCGTTAAAGAGTTATTAAAAAGTAAAGTAAAAAGGTTGAGATTGCCATCTGTAAATATGCAATTTATGCAAAATATGCATTTTATACAAAATATTCAGTCAAGTATTTTGCATAAATACCCGCAGTCTACTTATAACAAATAATAAATTTCTTTAGTCTGAATTAAAATCAGAAAGAAATTACTCACAGCTGTATATTAACACGTACCATCTGCCATTTTCGGCATATCTTCTCATAATATCGCGTTCTGTTTTAGTTTCGAGCATATTCCAATCTATAGATAAGCGATCTGTAAGATCTTTAATCTAGAAACATCATCCATATATTTGACATACGGATGCAATATCTTTAACGGTTACAATATCAACAAAGTCTAAGATCTTACAAAGAAATTGAATTGAAACTATGGATTAAAATTAGAATGTCGATACCATATGTAATAATAAAACGTACTTTCTGATTATTAAATTGATACGTGAAAATTTTCACTGGAATAATCGCTGCCAGCAAGTGTGGAGGTAAAGTTTCAAAGATACACTGCATGTTATTGCATACGAAAAATCTTGCCGCCTGAAAAATGTGATTGCACTCACGTATAAGTTTAATTACAAAAAAAAAAAAGATCCGACGATAGTTAAAATTACCTGTGTAACGAGAATACTGACATCAAAAAAAAGAATAAGGATCAGGAAAAACAAACTCTCTTTCGGTTTTTGATAAGGCCACTGACCGATTAATGTCAGATACCTTTTACTGATATCATAATAATGTTCCCTGCTGGGTTCCATACTTCATAAAGAAACTATTCTTCTTGGCACTACAGTGATCTGAATTTCTCGAGGAAGCTTTTCTTGGAAAGTGTTTTCATTTCTGCAATAAGTATCGGTTATAAATAAATTAATACTTCAGATATACCGCTCTGTACTCGTCATTTTTCTTTCACCCGAGGAAGTACGGCGATCACGCGAGTTTCCATGGGTGACAAGCACTTACAATAAGTATAGGTTTCATATAAATATAACGTAAGTATTAATAGGCGGACAGCATTTGACAGCCGATTTTTTAAAAAAATATCACATATGTACATTCTAATACATTTGTATTAAATACTAATATGTTGGAGAGTACAATAAACGTCTGTAATCGCATACACTAAACAGTTCTCAAATTATTACTCACGTTTCAATAACAGAAAACAACTGCAATAAACTTTGGTGAGTGTTTCGCTTTCTAGATCATACGAGTTCAAAATGTGAATAAAATATTATTATAAGTTTTATAAAAGTTTTTGCTGTTCCAGAATAATACCGGCATTATTCTAATAATTATGATATATTCAACTGTATTTTTAGAGTATTTTTAGAGTATTTTTAGAGAATAAATGTAATTTTATTTTCAACAAAATTACATATATTTGTTTATTTTAATATTGTAAACTGGACAAATAATTAGCAGTTTAAATATAATTTCTTTTTTTTAATGAAAGATACATTGTTGTTAGACCTCATTTTTATAACAAAATGTAAAAAAGAATATATTTCTTATAAAATTTATGCTCTAATATTGTCGTTATGTAGCTGCATAACACAGTTTCACTTACCTGTAAATCTTCAAAGAGTGACTTATCTTCGTATAAAGATCCACCAACAACTCGTCATTAGAATTAATTATCCGTCGTCGTCACGCAAGATTGGGAGCACGCAAAACACAAGGCTTGGTAGGATATACAGATGACATTTATTTAATTACTTTATTATTTATGCTACTGAATGCTATATTCGTAGTAGGTATTTCTATAATTATATCGATAGATCATGCGTGAATCCGTAGAATGCGTGAGGTTTGCCGCGCGAGTTTTACAGCCCGTGTGTGAACGCGTATGTTATAATGATTACGCGTATGTAAATTAATTACAAGGGGAAAAGAGGGGACCGGACGCGAGGGGTGGTTGGGAGGGTGGACGCCGCTCCGAATATGCGGGCGCGCCATCGTCGAAGAAGTCGCCCCTCTCGACGAATCGTCGACCATGCGCGATCAAGAGCTCTTGATCCGCTTCGATTTCTTCAGCTGATCCGCGAAGAATTGTGTGTGCGCGCGCGACTCGATTTATAATACCTAAATTTCTCTCTTTTTTTTTCCTCTCTTCATGCCCTTCGATCGCGACTGATATCGAATCGGTCCCTCTCGATCGCGAAACTAATAAACGGGGACTCAATCACTATCTCGAACTTCGGCCTTCAACTCTCTCACTATCAGCTTCCTAATTTTCATTCGATCCCATGAGAAGATCGTCGCTAAAGAGGAACGTCCATAGAAGTCACGTCTGTTCGTGACTTGATAACTCACTCTTGCTTGAAATAGTGAAGGAATTAGACGCGCCTTTCCCTCGGGATAAATTCTCGTTTTTCTCTTCTCTCTCATTTTTTTACAACCACCTCTCGCATATATCGCTGCCGAAATATATTCTTAAATAAGGAATGCAGAGGGATCGAGATAACGATCGAGTCCGAATACATACAGTTAAGAACTTAGCAATATACATATACAAGGACGTATGTAACGCAAGGCGCAGCTCCCATCTAGGGATTGCGATGATCCATTGCCATCATCTTGGATGATCCGATTGGATCAAAATAACTTGACAATAAAATTACTAATATCCTCCTCCGTCGCGATACATTTCGATTGATCATTTAGATCTGTTCTTGTCAGCTGCAACTCTTTTCACGCTTTCTACACTTAAAACGAAGCAACTATACGTTTACGCTTTGGAAAGAGAAAAAAGGAAGAGGAAAAGCGTAGAAGGTGCATCCAGAAAGAACAGACTAAATGAATGAAGCGGCCAGAGAGAAGATCCGCAGAAAATCTTCTTATGGAACTTACATATTCTATTCTTTATACAAAATACCATGTAGGATATCCTGAATTCAACGCTAGAGAGAGAGCGATCGAGATTACCATTTTTTCTCTTATTTCCTTTCGAAAGTAAGAAGAAATAATAATCTGCTAAATTAATCCGTAAATTATCGAAGATATACTGGGTGCGTTTTGATTTTATGAAAAGAACGATGCGTTTGAAACGATATTTAACAATTGTATACAATCGATGATACAGCAGTGAAATCCGATGATCTTTTCAGTGCTATAGATATTTGAATCAATAGATCATTAGCATAGTAAAACGAGTATGTTACATTTAAGTAGAAACCGCATCGTATGTAAATCTTAAAGAAATTTCTCTCATGTACGGCATATCATTCTCACGTACGAATTGGAATTATATAAAAACGTCGCGCATCCAATCATTGTCTATTAAATTTGTTACAATAAACGTCCTAACAATCATTCATTACCGGCCACAAAGCACAATCGCTCAGACGTAATTATTTTCTCAAAAACAAATACTTTTGTTAATTTAGATAGACATGTTTCTCACAAATCGTAAATATTTGGTGTCTGTAGTATCCAAAAACACCATCTATATATGCACCAATATTATTCAATATAAATTATATAATATCATATGCAAGAATTGCGTTCAAATAAATCGAATTGCACTACTTATAAAAGAATATCATAATGTACTTAATAATTATAAAATAATTATAATATAATATTTAATAATAATAAGTTATAAGAAACAAGACTGTTACATAAATAAATCAACTAAATAAGAGGAGCGCTACTTCCGATCAAAAATAAAAAATATCTATTCAAAATAATTATGAAAACATTCTAATATTTGCATTATCATATCACCATCTTTTACGAAATCCACCATCTTGGTGAAAATAAAGATTAAATGTGCTAAATTGAAATTGAAGTACATATTTTACATATCATAACTAATTATAGTTATTCTTTTTTCAATAGAGAAAGAAAATTGAGACAACTTCGAATACTCAAGTTCATTTTATAAACACAAAGTTAACATACTAAATCGTGCAATATGAAACTAATCGTAAATGATCATCACAAGACATAATCGCGGAAGAGTACAAGTCCTAGCAAAATACTTTGTAACCGGCCACATGTAAATTAAACATTCCTCCTTTTCATTGTAAGCTTGCTTTGGTTCATGATGATATAATCGCATATTTATCGTATAGTAGAAGCAAATTTGGTCCTCGATCGTGACGAAATACCAAAGATCTTCCACGTTCAGGCGACGCAACTTTCATCCTTGTGCTTATAAACGTCTTATTGCGCCACTACTGGCGACTTTACATATCCATGGCTACATAATGAAATATTCTTCGTTTCTCTTTCTTTTTCTTTTTTGACCGATTAATCCTTCTGGTCCACATCACACGCGTCGATCAACCTTGTCCTTGGGCTCTATGACGATAATCAATGATTTGATTCGAACCCTCGAATTAGGTTTCAATTAACAACATATTTTTCAATTTTACTAGCTATGATCAGGCTAGTGTCCAGCTCTTCCCAAATCACAATCAAATAAAGCTACAGACAAAGAGTTAATCATAATTAACTTGGACGACCAATCCTCGATTGTACGATACGAACTTGACTGTATAACAAAGATCTCAATGGAGATTGTTGTACAGAACGAATGAACTGCGATTGAGATCATTTAGAAAATTTCACGGATTTATCCTGGAAACGATCGTAATCGTAAAAATTTCAGAAATTTAACGTTTATACTAATATAATACTATCACACACACGCACACTCTCTCTCTCTCTCTCTCTCTTTCTCTCTCTCTCTCTCTTTTCGTCATCACTAAATAAGATATTGGAACAACGTTCGCGGTTGTATCCTAAGAGTGAACGTATGCTAAGCGAACGAGTAACAAACGTATAGTAAATGCGAGTTTTAACCAGCTGAAGTTCGAGAAATATTTACTTCGCATACAGGGAATGCAGATAAAAAAGAGAACGATCGATTACTCGAGTATCCGATAAGCGTTTGCTTCGACTGGAAATTTCCGCACGTTGCGGAAAATTTTAAGTAAGCTCGACCGCGTTACTCGTTCACTCAGAATGACGTATCCACCTCAAGGATAACAACACTATCAATGTTCGATACTGTACAACATCGCTGTGCGAGAACGTCGGTCGACATGTGAGAGTCGCGCGAAATCGATGCTCTCTTTCTCTCTGTCTCTGTCTCGAAGATCTCTCCCTGATCTCGTCCTGACATCGTGGTCCTCCTTGTAGCAGCGCGCGACAAAAAGAATGGATCACCAATGCGCGCAAGAGATCCTTCTTGCGCCCTTCTTCACGGAGATCGATCTACGCCGTTCGACGGCTCGGAAAGAAGAGAGGAGAGGAAGATCTTATACGTGGTGAGGTGCAGCAAAGGTTTCATCCGAGAAAAGGATGAATAGGAAACGTATGAGGAGAGTGATTTCCACGGCGAAGGGAGAAGACGGAGAGATGAAGGGGAGAGGGAGGGAGAAGAGAATGGAAATAATCCTTCTCGGACTAAAGGAAGAAAGGAAATCGATTGCGTTTATCTCTTATATTGTTAATTTGGTCTCGGGGTCCAACGACTCGTGAAGAGTTATTGTATGAAATAATCGGGATGGTCTGAGTCCTTCTCAAACCTCTTCGCCTCCTCCTGCATGCTCTCCTTGATCTTCAGGATGGCCGCCGACTCGGTCTGATCCTGCGAATCAACCAACACCAGGCCGGTTACACGTAAACGATCAGGCAAGCCCATCAACCTTGCCCAAGTTTTTCCGTGCGCAGCGTCTTTCACCAGCGTGATTCGCGGGACCCTCGATAATCGCGCGTCGGAATTTCGGTTAAGAGTTTCCAGTTTTCATAGCCCGAGCGATAAATGTCCAGCCAAATATTTTCCTCTCGTTGCCGCGCGTAAGGAACGCGTATACCAGGAATCTGCCCAGTAATTTCTTCCCAGATAACGAAGGAGAGAACGTATGTATCATCGTGACTCGCAGGAGCCACGACGGTGGACGAATACCGAGGAGTCCCGCGAAATAAAATCCGTCTTCACCCCCGTGTGTGAAAACGCTGGCCGGTGAATAAAACGCTTTTAAAAGCGCAACGTGATGGCGGTGCGTCGTGAAGGGGCCGGGCTCGTGAAACGAAAAACTCCGTGGGACAGGGACACTGAGGAGGTGTCGGTCTCGTTGTCGGGAACCGGAAGAAAAGTTGGAGCTTGAGGTACTGTTTGCTTAAGGGTGCTCTGACCCACAACACATGGACGTTACGTAAGATAGTGAAGCCCGTGTCGAGCTGAACATAATACAGCAATAAGAATAATAACGATAATAATATTAATGATGATGTGATGATGATAATAATAATAATAATAATAATAAAAATAATAATAAAACACAACGAAAAATTCATTATCGTCGCCTGCCCCCCCCACGCACGCACACCTCACCGATTATAAACGACAGGTAGTACAGTGAAAAAAAAGGTACTCTAGAGAAACTCGACGTGTCGTCCTTCACACACTTATGTTTTTTCTCCCCCATTTTTTTTTTTAGCGGAAGACTCTTCCGCCCCTTCGGAATTTTCGTCTCCGCTTATTTTTTCGTGTCTCGCAATCCATCGATACGCTTTGCGCTGACGCATCCATGTGCTACAGGTCAGTACAGGCTAGTACTATATACAGCTATCTGTTCTGCTCTAGTCCGGTACGTATTTCATACGCAGTGAATACGAGAGAACACTCGAGAAACGTTCAACGAGAGTGCAACATCGATCATGACAATGTGTTCCACAGCCGCCAGCGATAGTGGTGCAACGTCCGACTTAGCGGAGATCAGTGTCCAAGAGTTGGCTTAAAGTCAGCGATTTTTCATTTAAAGAGTAGATACTGATCGCGCTAATTGGACGGATGGTACGAACAAAGCGACGAGTGAAACACAAGTGATGTGTGTTGTGTGATTAGCACAAGTGCAAATACACGGAGACGGATAGTTATATATAAATACGATGATAGCCAGCACCCCTCGGATTGAATCGTAAATAAAAAAGAAAAACGCAATAATCTCAGTGTAACAGGATTACATTTATTGTCTCGATCTCGCCTGGCTTATAGGCATATATTAATTATGTTATCATTCAGCGATACGTTCGGCTTACAACGAGGAGTATATCAAGTAAATTGGCATTAAGGGTACCAAACTGCGCCCGTCCGTTTCACGAGTCTCTATTATTGTTACTGTTATCGATGAACTAGGAACAACATCGCGAAATAAATCGGCATTGTTTCCGCTCGAGGAAACGATTATCATGGAGATCAACAATATCGACAATTGCGATTCGTCGTGCGAATCGCGTTTCAAGCTTCGTACCCTTAATGCGCCGCTTTGCCGAGCTTTTCCTTCACTCATTGACTCGTGTTGTACGTCCTCGCATTAAAAAGAAAAGATTATACGACTCCACAAGCGCGCGTGTACTTTCTTTTCTCCGTTTGACGTATGGGCTTAACGGCAAGACGGCAAGAACTCCGGGATATCGGCAAGCAGTACGTTCTGCGAGGCTATCCTGCAATATCTTTTGTGACAGGCGGCAAACAATTTCGATTAGATAAATTGACAAGCTTTAATTACAAGATAAATCCGTCATCACGTCATCCGCGCGATCGCAAATTTAGCAAATAATTAATTCATAATTATTTCATGTATTTTATCCTCGCGTTCATTATGTCATTTACCATCTGTCGCAAAATATGTGTAAGTATACAAATTTTTGACAATATATAAATGGTGTGAAGCAAAATACTCTGTTTTCTTAATGATCCATCTGTTAATCCACGATCCCAAACCGAAATGAGAAGCGTTAAAGAACGCCCAAGAACGTTCGTAGCAAGGTAGCTTTTGTAAAAAAAAAAACGAGCTTTCACAACGAGACAATAAAAAAAAACTTGCAGCGTCTTGCCGTTTGATCCCAGAGCATGCACTTGCGCATACGCACATTCACTCCTCTCTCCCCCCCCTCTCTCTCTTTCTCTCTCTCTCTCTCTCTCTCTCTCTCTCTCTCTCTCTCACCATTCTCTCCGTGTATTTTTTCTTTTTTTTTTTTTACATAAAATTCCATCGATGTCTCGGCATAAGTTAATTTAAACATAACTAATAGCAGCACAGTATAGTCCGGTACTGACCTATAATCAATGCGGACGGATGGATTCCGGGAAATCTCTCGCTTCTCACCCTCATCGCATTTTATCTTCCGTTTCTCTATCTATATTCGCTCTCTAAGGTTCAGTACTCGCATGTCTACGTATCTTATATTCATACAAAAATATTAACGTTTGCATATATATACATATGTATATATATATATATATATATACACATATATATATATATATATATTATATACACAAATATATATTTTTCTTATATACCTCTTTCTCTCTCAAGTACTTCATTTAAGCTACCTGCAGTAAACCATTCGCCTCGCAATATCGCGTAATCTCGAGCTGTTGAACTACCGTTCGCTGAGAGATCCGCTTTTACCGTTGTACAATGTCAATCAGCTACCAGTGTCAAAGGTGAAAGCTACGATCGATTAATTTACATGAAATCATCGTTACTCGAGTCGCAAACGATTAAAAGTACGTAGATTAAAAATTCTGCTTTCAAAAGAGATTCCACCTTTCGTTCTACAGTGACGCTAAAAATTGAGCAAGTGACGAGCTTTACATAGTTTACACGAGAAACGACGGCGAAACTAAGTGTTAGGGATCACGAAACGCGCATTGATTAATTTCTGCACGAATTTAAAAGGAATGATTCTAATTAATTTAATATGTTTATCACCGCGCGAGCGATATTCACGGATTGCATGAAGCCTGATCTATAATGTACTCTTGGCTCCCCGTTTCTGGTTTTTTTCATCTCTTTGTGACCATTTTATTAACAATCATGTTTCTTGTCTTTTCCGAAGTTCATTAATTTTTTTATTCTGACGAGTTATAAATGTCAACTCGGAAAACGAAAAAATAGGATAAGAGGCAAAAAGACGAAAGTTAAAAAATAGCAAAAAGCAAGAAATAAAAAGCAAAGAGCACATTGTGGATCAAGTTTTAGAAAATGATTAGAAACACGATGCGACTTTACATCTAATTATTCTAAAAATTTGAATATCCCGATTGAGAAAAATTGGCAATTAGAGATTTTACAGTACAGTGCGAGCTTCCCTTGTAAAAAATTATTATTAATTCGTTAATCGTTTCTATGCGTTCGTATCAACTTTGCTTCGCGAGCAAGAAACAGTAATCCGTATATATCCCGTTATAGAAATGTATGTACGATACATTAATTTCCATTTGCAAAGCTAATGACGGATGCAAGAAAAACAGAGTGCCTGCTCCTAATATTGGGAACAGACTGTGAGCAAATAATTGGAGGGATTCGGTCTGCGTCATCCTGTGTTCACTTTATTACAGTCTCGTGATCGTTATTGCAAGATGTGCGAAAGTTGAAACTGCTAGATTCACATTAAGTGTAAAAAGACTGCGCGAGATACACCTTCTCGGAGGAACCCTCACCTGCCGTTTACAGTTTACACCGTTTAACTTTATAATGCAGTAAAGAACGGGCCAAACATCAATTCAGTATCAAGTACAACTCAGAGTGGTGCATTCAAACGAAATTAAAAAAGAAAACAAGAATGTAAAAATCGATTAATAATGCGATCAGTAATCACAGTAGTTATATACGGATAGTTATATACGTATATTCTATCGTGTATGTGTATAAACGTGTATATGAACGTGTGTCTTATGTAACAATCTTCACGTAATTTTTCAGGCACCTTTACTTACGACCTATGTATAATTGTCAAATAAATATAAATAATAAAAAATAATCTGACAAATCTCTTAAGTAAATATTAACTAGCTTCCGTAGTAAAATATAGGTATAATCCAGGGATTGAAGATGGAAACAATTTTACTAGCAATTATTTCGGTATCATACATATATATATGTATGTATATATATGTATGTATTTATTTTTATAAAATCGCACTATTATAAATATCTTGAATTATATTATTCTGCGTCAAACGTGATATACAACTGAAAAGCTTTTCATTATAAATTATAAAAGAAAAGAATACAATAATCAAGTAAAAGTATCTATATTTAATATTTATATGTCATATTTATATGTCATATTTATATGTCAATATAAATACTTTAATTAGTAATAATATCATTATAATACCAAAAAGTTATAACAATATTATTTATACTAATTCATTTTTATTTCGATTATTGCATAACATTATATAATATTATATATTTTTATTATATATTTCATATATATTAAATATATATGAAACACACAAATAAATACCGACAAGTAATCAGCTTTTTTTTACCGTTTTCAATCCCTGGTGTAATCATAGTAACGTAAAAAAAAGAATTATAAAATATCTAGTCTTGCAACCTTTTGAGTATTTAAACAAAGCATATACATATCATATTCCTAAACACGGCGAAGCGCACGTGTAAGAATAATTGTTGCTCAAGTATCTGCGCCATTTAGTGATAGTAGTTCAATTAATGAGCGCTTAAGTGCTAATCCTAATCGAGCAGGAGCAATCGATAGCGACCGCACGCTGCGTTTAACACGAATATCATTAACTTTTTTTTTTCTTTTTCGCTCTGGCTTGCTACGAACTTGAACCACTACATGTGCCGGACTATAGCGAAACTAGCCGGAACGCACCATGGAACACGTGAATACGCAGCGAAACTGCGATGTTTTTCCGCATTACATGTATATAACCGGCACACCATGTGCGAAGTCTACGGCATCTACGAACTCGGGGCTGGCTCCAAGGCGACTTGATTTTTTAAAAAAACTGTCGAGAATACAGAGAAGGTGCACGTACGTGATTACTGATAACTCTTTTCGCAAGACTCGCAAAGAACGTCCGCGACGCCGTCACACTTCTAGATTATGACAAAACTTTGCGGATTATCAGGATAACTGAAGATAAAAAACACATTTCTTGTTTCTTTGCTCATAGAAACTTCCGTTTGAAAGATGAAATCACACGTGCGTGCAATAAATACAAAAGAAGTTTGAAAAGAAATTTGTAAGGTGGAGCGTTTTACTGCTACATATAATAATTTTATTCTGAAAAAAAACAATGTTTAAATAAATTTATAAATATTATTTTATAGAGACCAACTTAATTCCGGTCTTATAAGTACAAATTTTTTTTAATAAAAACATCTTGTCGGCCCTTTTCAATTATCAAATAAATCGCCAAAGTTTCAGCAAAATCGAAGACGAAAATGACACGTCGTGACTGTTCCTTGTCATATCCTACTGATAATCTCATATAACAACATATAAGATTAGCATGTAAAATCGTATACGCGATTGAATCAAAAGTTCAATTACTTTGTCGCACGAAAGTAATTTGGTGTTTCATTATCATAAAGCACGCAGAAAGAACTTGAAACACTTACATAAATACGTATAAATTATTTTTCATAAAATCAATATAAATAATAAACTATTAAAAATCAATTGATTATATTAAGTCTCGTCATCTTTCTGCCCACTTTATAACTGCATCGTTAGACGTTATTGTTAGTGTGATAGTAGTTAGACGCAATTTCAGCGAATACAGTTATGACAAATATTAGATGCGACCAAATGACGCTGATTAAATTTACCAAAATACCATGTAACGCGTGATTAAACAGAACACCTTCCGAGAAATTTATAGGGACAAATGATACTCTTGTAAGAAAGCATTAACAAGCCTGTTGGAGCGAGGCTGAGGATAAATCCCTTGAACGAGACTGAACCCATATTATTTTAGCAAAATATGTGAATATCCGCCGTACTGATAGAAGCGCTTGTGGCTGTTAATTGAGATGATTAGAAGGGCAATAAGTTGTAACATGGATTCGTATGTCACAAAAATAAATAAATAAATAGATAGATAATAATTTAAAATAAATTTTTAAAGATTAATACACAATATAAATAATTAGATTAATATACAACATAAAGACAATGAATAAAAGAGGTGATTAGTCAGATCAATGACATACAAATCCACAACAACACGTCGAGTGTGTGATCATTAGAAAAAGTTATCAAACAACCTGTGCATACTTACATTCTCTCCAGGAGCTCCGAATCCACCCAGATTATAATCACCCATTCCGCTGCCGCTATCTTCCCGTGGTGTTCCAGGACCACCATTCGCTGGACTGTTCTTCATCCCATCGAGACCGTCACCGTTTAGAACCGGACCCATTGTATTAGGACCCATAGGTCCCATTGGACCGCCTTCAGGCCCACCGCTCATTGGAAAATCCTAAAATATGTTATAGCATTGCTTGCATGTAATATATATAAATGTTTTAGACATTAATTATTTGTCTGGGACAATATAAAAAAAACTTACAACCCAGATATAGCTTATTAATAAATTTAAAATATAATAAATAATTATTATTATTTAGCCACTTACACCCGGCATATTTCCCCCAGGTACAGGCTTCATAATGGTATACATATTTTCTCCTCCACTATTGCTGCTATCCTGTGGGCTAGGCATAATGGGTGTACCGGGTCCAGGCGGACCCGTTGATCCAGGCGGCCCTCCGTAGTTGCCCGGCGATGACGACGAATAATTCATTGGCTACATCACAAAAAGATGTTAGATATTTGTATTCGTTAAAATAATATTAAATATTAGAAATGTATCGAGAAATAAAAATTGATATGTATTTATCTATACCGTAGATGTGTTGGGTTGCCATTGTTGTCTACCACCTGGAGCAGCCATACTCATCGGTGGCATTCCAGGACCTCCTGGTCCACCTGGACCCAAAGTACTGTTGGGTGGTGGACCTCTCATACCTGGGCCATAACTTCCAGGACCCATCGGTCCCATCCCTGGTCCTCGGGGAGGATTCATTCTTGGATTCATTGGGTTCATTCCTGGTGGACCTATGATAGAAAGTAGAGTTTGTAAATTCAATCGTTAAATAAGGGACTGTTAACGTTTGTTCTAGTTCTATGTTAATGCTAACTGCTAATTACGATTTTGTGGACTAAACGGTAAAAATTATGGATTTGTGAACTTTAAGATAAAGTAACTTGTGTGTGAGAATGGGCTTCATGTGCGATAACATTAAGTGCGGGCTTAAAGTGAGAGTCAAATTGAATCATGCTTTGCCAAAGTCGAGCTCAAGGTAAAGCTGGTGGATGACATGCCGTTCAAGCAACTGTCACCACACAAATTAACATAGTGAAAAGCTCATGCTAAAGATAGAAACAGCATGGTATTAAATTGCGAACAATTATACATTCGAATATAAAAAAACAAAATAATTTCGTTAGCTGTTAATTATTAAAAATTCTTAAAAAATTCTTAAAAAAATTCTTAAATTTTAATTTCAGATAAAAGCGATTTTTTGTTTTATGGATTTTATGCAATAGTGTAACATCTACAGATCACAATTAAATATTATTTCGTAAAGATGTAACGTAACATGATAATCTAAAAATATATTTACTAAACACAAACATGATAAGCCTATCTTTTCTATTTGCATGTAGCATGATTTCATAATACGCAACAAATTTTAATTACTATTAAACTTGTTATAATAACAGATTTAAATACGTTTTGTTAATTTAAAAATGTCCAAAAAAATTCCGCAAAAAAAAGTACATTTACATATATCATTAATTTAGATATACTGGATGAGTTAACCAGAGACTGCAAAATATCTGGAAAAATAAGCATTGTATGAAAAAAATGTTTCAAATAAATCAATGTTTTTGAGGGAGCAATTCTATCCTGCAAAAATTAGCCGCCTCCCACTCCTTCCTAAGGATGGGAGTAACTTTGAAATCTTAAATGGGAACCTTCCCCTACTTTTTATTGCAGATTCGAATTCTACGTCCAAAGATACGTCAATTTTATCTAAACCTTTTTTTTCGATTCCTGATAGATAACTTAATCCCTAAAGCTAAGAACGGATAAAAATTATTGTAGACATCTAAAATAATTCGAAAAACATGTTTCAGATAAAAGTTGCTTTCTTCAACGTAGCATCATTGTGCAATAAAACATGGGGATTCCGCTTGAAGAAGACGAAGGTTAACCAATTTTCGCCGAATGCAGTGCTATCTATCAAAATTGACGATTTTTGGATGTAGAATCCAAATCTGCAATAAAAAGTAGGGATTCCCATTTAAGATTTCAAAGTTACCTCCAGCACTACCCCCAGGGGGGAGGGGAGGGGAGGGCGGGAGGTGGCTAACTTTTGCGGGATAGAATTGCTCCCTCAAAAATATTTAAGATTTATTTGGAATATTTTTTCGTACAATGCTTATTTTTCCAGATATTTTACAGTCTCTGTTTAAAAAACTCACCCAGTATATATATATATATATATATATATATATATAAATATTTCCAATATATTTTGCACACATACATTAGTAACGATCTTTTTTAAATGTACACAAAGTATTACAAAGTTATTGTGTAATGTGTAATATATATATATACTAATATATATATATATATATATACGATATAAACTGTATTAAAAAATTACTTATTATGCACAAAACCAAATATACACGTCTATGTACTCAATTGCGATTGTCATGCTGGATGCTAATTCGGATGAGCAAATCATCTTGCAAAAGGGCAAAGCCGGTGCAATTATGAAAATGAAAATAAAAAAAATCGAAGGCAAGGAGGAGAAAAAAATAAAAGTTAGGCTTGACTAAGTCATGTGAGTGTGATTTGGGTTGCTTCCTACCTTGCCACCCTACAAATTCTCCAGCTTCGCCTGAGGAACACAAGAGCACACATTAGTACGGCAGGTAGGTAAGGTCAGGTTCATGGTAGTAAAGCCTAGTTATTTTGCAGTGGTATAGTAGATAAAATTATTTTTGAATTTAATAATTACACAATTTATTAAAAAATTATTTAAAAGTTATTCTTGAACATACACTGGAATAATCATGTTGACATATATGTGTTTAATTAAATCATATAAACGGATTGAGAGCCAAGCCATTTTATCTATTGCGTAAAAATTCATAATATTTTTATATTTGAATTTTTATATTCATTAATTCGTAATAGTTTAAAAATAGGATATAAACTGCATTTTTTCAAATCAAATTTATGAGATGATAGAATATTCTGAAAAATACATATGACATATGTAACTACATGAATTTATATAAAAAAAATAAAAAAAATTATATAAAAGCATATCAAATAAAATATTTGATAAAAAGACCTATTGAAATACATTTACATACTAAAATACACAAGACTGAATATCTAGCAGTAACAATCGAACACAAACTACACCACTGCTTGTAACTAGACAATTCAAAAACCAATCCACTCCACATCACAGCAATCCAATCCAATTTAAAATATTACTTATTCGTTTATTGCTGTGTGGTTTTTGGTACGCATGCGTCTATGCCATTCTTCTCTCGCAACTCTCGTCAATGCCAGAAAAAAGTAATGAAACACTGGCATAAAAAAGATCTCTTACCTTGCCTGGTAGGATCCATACTATTTGGCATCATTGGTTGTCCTGGTGGCTGTAAAAAAAATAACAAATTTATAACTCTATTATTTATAATATCTATAATACTGTTATTTATCTTTATAATATCTACAATACAGGTTTAAATATATTTAAGAATTAAAATTATGAATAGATGTAAAATAGACATTGGCAAAATAAAGGCACTTTATATGTAAATATTATTTTATTTATTTATTTATTTAAATCATAATATATGAATTAAATTCTCGTACTTACTCCATTAAAGTCATTTCCCATTTGTGGCATACGTACTCCAGGTCGTGGTCCTGCTGGATATCTAGGGCCCATAAACTGTAACAGAAAATAAACATTCATCAAATTGATCATATAACAAAATATATTGAGTTCATAATTGGAAGGTGTAAATTAAGTATCCATAAAGTGTCAATCATGATTACTATACACAGAATTGACTACATATAGTATAAATATCAGGCAGCCACAATAAGCAATCCGTGAGATGATAGGCCATAAAATATGCATTTCGAGTTCATCGCAGCACATTAGTTGGTTATCATTACACAACATTCCTAAGCCCAAATTTGTAGATGAGATTTATAATATAACATGAACATAATATTCTAAACTATCGTAGAACTTTTTTAATAAACCTATGTTTCTGTATAAAGACAAAACCACGAAGGACATTATGAAGGAAACAATTATAGCGATTGTGGCGACAATTATGAATTTCGGTTATACCATGATATGGTGCGATGACACAGCGGAATAAGTGATTCTTCATGAGTGAGAGTGTATGGGGCGGGGGTGGCTGGGGGTGCTGGGGGGATGGCTGTGATGAGGGGTGTGTGGGCGGAGATGGTCGCATTGTCGAGTTGTTCTGCAACAAGCAACGCAAACGACAGACATGTAGCAACACTGCGATCCAGGCAACAGCTAGACTAGAAGGCTTTGGGGATGATTGTGTTAATACTATGATCGGTCTCAGCATCTTAAGTTATCCGACAGAAAGTTGTAATTAGGAAAAATCGTTCTAATGACGTTTCAGTGTTTCTGTCGTTGTGCACCCTCTTTTCATAATTACAACCTGTATATGAAATGATTTTAAACTGTGAAACAAGACATACAAGAGAATATGAAAAGATGCCAATCAATTATAAAATGTACAGCGTTATAGAACGTAAAACGATTTCGTTGGAAAGAATATATGATGATTCCTAAGCATTACAGGATACCTATGTATGTAGAGAGAGCTAGAAACAATTTATATCACTCACATATTGTGTAGCATATTATTTTTCTCTAATCTAGTAGGGGACGACTACTTTGACAAGCAACAGATGCATACTTTTCTTAATTTTCTTTTTTCCACATACATTTTATATTATTTCTAGTTTTTCATTTATAATAAATGGTCATAAATATTATCATTAAAATCAATGATATAAGATCATATTTATACCATTATATAAATAAATAAAGAATAAATCTTAAATACTGATAAGAAAAGATAAAAAATTTATATCTTTTGCATGTAATTATAATCTTTAATAAATGTATGATTATATATGATTATATATTAAACTATAAATTTATAGAATTACATACATATTTACATACATATATCATGTATTTTGAAAAATTATAAATCTTTTTAATTTTTATATATAATTAATCATATAACAAATAATTATTATAATAATATCTATGAAATCAACGTTTGTCAAATAATACAAATAATATCATGGATCGTTTGTAAAAAAAACTAAACTACATTTCTAAGCAGGCTTCCATGTTAGTTGTCCCATACATTCTAAAGAATATAACTTTGGCTGGCTATGTAATCTAAGAAAATATTAAAATGTCAATTTATATTTTGCAAATAAATGTTTGTATATGACGAATGGAACAATAATGTCTCTATCCTACAATCTTTTTGTGTTACTGCGACATGACCAGCACAAAGTAATATACTCTTCATGATATGCTTACTGTACCACAATATTGTGTTCTAAATATATTCTAACATCTATATAATCCTGTTCTTCATAGAGTTTCTAGATTTGTTTTATGCGCCAAGAAGATGAAACAGTGAAAATGGTACAAGAACGCACATACAAGTATTAGATAGAGAGCAGAGAGAAAGTAAGTACATATATACAGTATAGAGACAAGCATGACATAAGAACGTCTTTTGAATATACATTTGTTTCAAAACAAGTTAATCACGACTACGGCTAATGTGTGTATATTTATCGGTAATAGGGATATATAAATATATTTAAGTTAAATAATTATCATGTAAAAATGTATAACATATAATTCATTTTTCGAACTCAATCAAAAGAAAGACGAACAAATTGTACAAAAATCGGTTCTGTCACTTATTTACATATGTAGCTTATTTAAAAATTATTTAAAATTATTTATATCGATAATTATTTTCTAAACAATAACCTAAATTAAATATTAACAAGTTCTTCATTTACTTACTTAGATGTTTTCTATATATTTCTTCTTAATTTATTAATTTAATTAAATTATATTTTCTTACTAGATTTGGTTAGGTTACAATCTTTATTTTTAAAATAGCTTAATTGTGTACTATTATGCTTTGAATCAAGTGTAAATTTTTAATAAAGGACTATGCATAACAATGATAACAAATACATGACTATGTGTGTGTGTGTATGTGTGTAATGCACACATACACATATCTAGTGTATAAAAATATACGCTTTAGATTTATATTTGAAATCATTTTAAATTTTCAAAGCATTAATATCTTTGTTTTTCAAAATATTTAATGATTTTTGTATAAAATTTATTTGAAACTATTTCAGAAAAAATGCTATCACTACAACACAAGTAATAATTTGAATAGAATAAATCTTTTAATTTTAATTAAAATTATCAAAATATGTATATAATATTAAGTAAAATCAAAATGTAATTATGTGACGACCGATTTAAAATAATAGCTTTTTCACTTTATGTATTCTGTAAGTAAAGATAAAAACGAATGATATTAAGACATTTTTATGTTATGAAAACTCACTGGAAAGAAAGCAGGAGGCATGGGACCACCAGGCATTCCGTCGTTTGGTGGCATTTGACCAATTGGAGATGGGGCTGGCCCAGCATTCTGTAAGTATTTCAATTTCATTTCAATTTCTAATATTAATTTTCTTCTTTGTGGAGAAAAGATATTTAAATTTAAAAAAGTATATATACTAATTATATGATTCTTTATAATTATCAATATAAACAAGTGTTAAAATATAAAGTTTAAATATATGCTTAACGATTTATATATTAACATATTTGACATAAATTTTTTAACTTACATGTGCAATTCCATTGACGTTGTAAGCACTATTCACGAATCCCTGATAACAGAACATGTGTCAATGTAAATAATATGCAAAACAAATGCAAACGCATTTATGTTTAATATTAATTGATTCAATATCAAACAATCGATAATTTTATGCGAATTATAAAAGAGTATTAGAGTCATTAATATAATTACATAGTCATGAAATGCTTTGGCCTCACTGCTGTGTTCACAAGAATCTCTTCTCTCGGGCGCTGCGCAGTACAGATCCCAAAAGACACTGTAAAAAAATGTTATAACGATTATTTTACACTGAAACATCCCTACGACAATTTCTTTAATGTAACATAGTATACCTACCACCACCAAGAGTGCAAAAACCCAGGTGGCTCTCCCAGCGTAATATTTTTCTCCCATCGAATCTAAACAAGCAGAGTAAATCGTATTGTAGTAAAACAATAGTTTGCAATAATACAGAGATAAAAGGTTTACATAGATCAAAAAAATCATTCTACCTCTGACAGAAAAGTTTGTGCTGCTTTTTGTGCTCCTACATGTAACAAGTATTCGTACACATAAAGCGCCAATCTGAAAACATGATTAACCATTAGCCATTAATAAAATTAAGTAGATAATTTCAAGCGAGAACTAACTTGACACAGCAAGAGGAAACGTAAAAAAAGGCAGGCAGGGTTACGTAAACGAGGAGGAATCGGTATCCATCATTCGTCTTTCTCTCCTTTTTTTTAGAAAGCCCGTACTTAACTCGAAGCCACCTCGACAATAACACGGATCCGTTCGTTAAACGTGAAGTTAACGCTGACTTTCCCCGCGCAAGGCAGGCAACGCGCGGCTGGATGCATCGTCGAGTGAGCCCGCGCACCGAGAGAAGAACCGGGCGATACAAACATGGCGCGGGAATCGGAAACCGCGAATCGGAGCGGAGCGGAGCGCGTATGCGGTTCCACGGTGATTGACACGCGCGAATCAATTGCCTCTCGCGAGAAAGCGGGTTACGCGCGAGCTAGACAATCTTCCCTGGCCGGGTCGATTTAGTTTTTTTTTTCCATCCTCGATTTCGTTTTTCCCATCCTCAATTTTCCGATTTCCGGAGCACACAGCTAACTTTAATCCCCGAGGGGCCGTCTAGGGGTCTGATTCGGGAAAAGTGTACTTTATACGAAAAACTAGAGAAATTTATAATATATATAACATATATCATAGTATTTGCGTATATTTTCGTACGCGATATTTATCAAGAATTTTCCAGGCCCTGGGGAGCGTTCCGTTTCACGAATAATGTGTAGGACGTATTATTTTATTTTTGTTTAATATTCGATGAACAACAAGGGGAAAATACATCATGAATTGAAAAAAATGATGTAAAATGAATAGCATTATTTTAATTGAAAACAATTTATTTATTCAATAACACTCAATGAAACAAATAAAATTTTATCAAAACAAGAGTATAACGTATTTGTTTCATTAATAATGTTATTGATTCAACAAAAATATTTTCAAATTAATAAAATATTAAAATATATTGAAATAATGCTGTTGATAACATTATTCTTTTTCAGTGTGTGCATACGTAAAACGGAGCTCACTCTTGTGCTCGATTCTGTAACTTAACGATAATTCAATATCGTTACATCGTCATTACGCAGTATGTCTTTTTTTATTAAAAAAAAAATTCCTCCCAACCAATTCCATCACTGTATAATATCTGCGACAATAATAATAAATATTATATGTTAAGAATTAATAATTATTGTATGTTAACAATATATGATAATAATAATTATTATATGTTAAGAATTACAAAATTGGAAAAATTGGAACGTCCTTAAGGCTGTCACACTACGTTTTAAGAATTCCGAATTGGAGATTAAAATTTGCTCAGAGTCAGATAATTTTAATTTCAATCCATTCCATTCCGACTGGTTGAATTCTAATCTCTAATTCACAATTCCAAATCTTCAATGCGGAATGCTAAGAGAGATAAAACGACATTTGTGCCTTATGTCACTAATGCCCATTTCTCTATCAATATAATTTAATTTTAATCTCGGTTCAACTGACTCTTCAGTTTTTTCTAATTCTAAGAATTAGAGAAAAATTAAGAGTAAGTTAAACCGAGATTAAAGTTAATCTACATTCGGTGGAAATGGACCTACATAAATGGAAAGCGCCAAGACAAACATTTTACACGGACGTGAGACATCCTCTGGATGTCTTCAGGACGTCCTACGGAAATCTGTGCCATATGGGAAGTTTCTCGAATTCGAGACCACAAACTGGTCGATCGATTGGATTACAATTCTCAATCCGTATCGTAATCAGAACTGCGATCTGGAAGGGGCCGAGGTATCGCGAGTTGCGAGTTAATTACGACTGTTACGACAATCAGTCGCATCGGCGGTTTATGACCGGCTAATTCCAGTTAACGACTGCTCCCGACCTCATTCCGTAACTAAAACGTTAAGTTTGTTCACTCAAGCGAACTTCGCTTTCCTAGCATATATTATACTCGCGATATTTAGAGAAGGAAGACGATAGAGAGAAACGAAAGGCGCGAGAAACGAAGCCTGAGTTTAAAAACTTTCGAGTGCGGCAACTCGAGATATCGCCTAACGCCGTAGACAAAAAGATCGATACATCGGCAACTTCGTGCGATCAGTCTAAATAATTTCAAATTGAAGAAGTGACATAGGTGAGATTCGCCGGCTAGTAATTATAATTGTAATGTAATCAATTTAATTAATTGTAATCTAACTTTCCAATATCTCCTTCCACTAATATAGATTAACTTTAATATCGGTTCAACTTACTCTTCAACTTTTTCCAAGTCTAAGAGAAGATGAGTATAAGTTGAACCGAGATTAAAGTTAATCTACATTGATAAAAACGAGCGTAATTCAACTTGATTTAATTTCCTACTGATTTTGATATCGCTCATATTCATCCGTCCATTGACGTTCGTTTCGCATTATTGAGATCCAGGGCTGCTCCAATTCATGCTCACAACGCTCATGAGCACAATTTCTCCTTGTTTTTTCCCCTTTGGGTGCTTTTCATTTAGTGACACGAGCCGACACAAACATCATTTTATCTCTCTTGAACTTAATTTAACTTATGAATGAACTTAATCTGATGAGAATGTAAAAATTGTATTTCCTTTAATTAATCAAAAAAACTGATGATTTTATAACGAATAACTTTTGAGTTATCATTACAAAACCTTCAATTTAGTGATTGAGCATAGCTAGAAAAACACAATTTTTACATTATCATCAGGTTAAGTAAAGCTAAATATGAATCACAAATTAATTAGAAAATAAAAAACAAGATTTCGATATACGAATAACAAAGACAGAACGACTTATGAAATCGACTTGACTCAAATGGAAAGTCTTTGATGAACAATAAGGATGAAATGACTAGTGTTCAGCAGAAGAAAGAGTTTTCCAACTTTTGTAAAATTCTTTAATATGAATAATTGATACAGTTAGGTTCAATGAGTAACTATAATAAGGACAAGATCAATCATATTAATTTGGATCTCATTCATGCTTTATATTTCTTTTCTTCGAAAAACTAGGAGCATTGAGTAATTAATTATAACATTTATATACCTTTTTTTTAAATACATAACCTTCCAGATACTTCCTAAAGATATTGAAGTATATGTAAGAATCACTTAGTAATTTTTGTATATCTGTTAAAGTGATAATTAATTCAGGACACGAAAGACCGATCATATATAGTAAAGGACTGGAAAATCATTGCGTATACTGAAGATTAAAGAATTTTATAGTTGTAAAGCGCTGTTTTTTTTTTTTTTGCTAAAGGCAACCAATGATTCTATGAGTGAATTGGACCAATCCGTTTTCGAATTGGGTATTAAAATGATTCGCTCGAAGGCGGAATTCAGAGATTCGCAAAATGTCCCAGCAAACAAACTGACATTATTTGTCATTTTGCACTGGCGAATTCAGAAATTTGTCAAGAAAGGGCCATTGGCTCGTTGCAAACGAAATTTTGTAGGGTTAAATAAAAAAAATAGAATATTGAAGTATTATTTAAATTATTGCATTGAAAAATTATCATTTAAATGAATATTTCATAAAACATTTTATTTAAAAATAAATTAATACAAAGAGGAAGAATAATATAACGGAATTCATATTATTTATACATAGGAGTTAATCTTAAATTAAAAAATAAAATTTTTGATAAATTTTAGAAATATTTAAAAAAAAATGTACAACATGCTATAAATATTTTTAAAAGAGGAGACTCAAAGAGGAGGAGACATGACCACCATGATCCTTCCACTCGGTAAATTCAGAGTCATTTTAACATAAAAGATGTCAAGAATGGCCAACGATAAACGCCAGTCCATTTGCTGGGGAAATTGCTGAAATCCTCGGGAATTTTCACCTCGCGAGTTTTCTCCTCGCGATGGCGCGTGTCAGCGATCGAGCCTTTCGCACATCAAGTCTCGAATCGATCTCGCGCTGGGGGGGGGGGAGAGGAGGAGGAGGGCGGATATAAGAGAGGAAAGGAGAGGCAAGCAAGGGAGCATCATCATGTATATACGTTCGCGAATGAGAGAAACATACAAAAGAGGAAAGCGAGAGAAGAGAGAAGAACAAACGAATGGCTCATCGGCCATCGGTAGGTAAACTGGATTAACCCGACGAACCGGGTTCTCCGGTCGCGATGTACGCGCGATGCACACGCTCCGAGCAAAAAGAACCGGCGAGACGACGAAGGGGGTAGTGGAGAGGGAAGAGCCCGCGCGGATGGAGCGAGCGGGGTCTCTGGGTGCGCAGAGGGGTGGCGGGAGGGGTAGAAGGGAGTCGGCAGGCAAGAGGATGCCCGAGAAAAATGGAGTTATACCGAGCGATCAATGGCCGGTCGGAATTTTCACAACGGAACGCCAATCATCTTTATTTTTCCCTTTCTCTCTCTCTCTCTCTCTCCCTCTCTCTCTCACTTCCTTCAATTCTCGCTGAATGATACGATACGTACTTTTCCCTCGCCTGAGAATCCGAGGGCACCGCCGATCCTTTTCCCTTCGCGTACATGGTCGCCGTGGTGGCCGGTCAATGCTTCTGGCGTAAACACAAGTGCACCGCCGTTCCTTCGTATAGCCGCGCTGGACGGCTAGAGTGGAGTTAAAAAGGGAGATATCGAGGACTCTCTCGTCGAGTCTCACGGACGCGCTACGCGCGGTTCTCCGTGTTGTATACGTGTGCGGCGTCTGTCTCGCTTCACCCGAGAGCGAACGGCGAACGGTAATTGCTCGGCGTGCTTACGTCGTCGACGTACGCCGTGTCAAATGAAATGCGACCCCGAGGAAAAGGTGCTCGTACACAAAACGTATACACAGATCACGCACACACATACACACACGCACGCACGCACACACACTCTTTTAATTTACGTCCGTCTCTTTCCCGCTCGCTGCAACACAGAAAGGAGTCTCGCGGGAGGTATTTCCGTCTCACTCTCTCTCTCTTTCTCCCCCTCTTCCTCACCACCTTCACGTCTTGCTCGTTCGCTCGCTCACTCGTGTGCCGACAAGAAGGTCTTCTCCGTCCCGCTTTCGTCGCGTCGCGTCACGTCACGAACACGTCGCGTCACAACTGGAGCGAGGTGCCTGCTGCTGCGCGATACTGGAGCGACACGGTGCGACGCATCACGACGACGTCGTCGTCGTCGTCGTCGTCGTCGTCGTAATCGTCAGCGGTTGGTTCAGGTGCGTCGCTGGGGGCGCCTCGTCGTCGTCGCCAGCACTGTCGCTGTCGCTGTCGCTGCCGCCGTCCAAGTCCTCATCGTTTCTTCTACGACTTCCTTCCTGCAACCTCACAGTTTTTCCGGTATCGTGCCTTCACGAATTCGCGTTACCGTTCGAACGTGACGCCGTCTTGGATCGCAATCGTTACCGACGTTGTCGTCGTCAGCTCACTTCACTCCGTATGCTCGCTCGCTAACCACTGTGACTGTCGCCTCGTACTCGGTACTCGTCGTTGCGTATCGAAGACGAACAACCCACTCGTCGTCGTTGTCGTTGTTATTGTTGTTGTCGCCGCCGGACGCGGCTCTCGTCCTTCGACGAATCTCGCTTTGTCGCGCGTGCTCTCAGTTCGAAAGCGTCTCGCAACACGGGAACGGTGTATCACTGCGACCGCACGATGTACATAACGCATACGTGCCCCATGCGCGCGCACGCACGACTAACGTACACGTACACGCACATGCAAGTCCGCACAGCCCGCTAGCAGCCCGCTAGAAGAGACGCGACGGTGATGCGAGAGATGGAACGAAGCCGGGAAACGAGAGACGGGCGAGGAGAGTGGGAGCGGATTGAACTTACTGTCGTGTAAACACGAGCAAGTTCGGAAATGTGACTCGTGGATTTCGCACGCGCTGCACGACTACACGCAGATGAGTCGACGGAGTATACTCGTCGTCCCTCACCTCTCTCCCTCACTCCGTGCCTATCTTCGTTACGCTCTGTCTCGCTCGCTCGCCGCTCGCCGCTCCCTTCACACCGTTCCTCCCTATCGCTCGATCTCTCGCAGTATCGATGCGCCATCCTCGTCCCTCGCACCGGCCGGGAACAGTGCGCGCGCATCGCCGCTTGTTATGCCAGTGCCGTTACGAGTGGCTCGAAAAACGAAGGGGCGAGTGAAACCCTCTACGTCCCCGTAGTTGCGTGATGATTTTCTCTGTTGTCCAATGTAGATTAACTTTAATCTCAGTTTAATTTACTCTTTATCTTTTTTTAATTCGAAGAACTGGAGAAAGATGAAAAGTTAGTAGAACCGGATTAAAATTAAACTGCATTGAACATGTATCATCGATACGAACAAGTGGCTGCGTTTAGCAGAAAAAGCAGTTTTATAACTGTCGTAAGATTCTTTATGACTGACTCCTGTCTGTAGTTCCTCATTGGAGAGAGATTAAATGTATTTATATCCTCTAAAAATTTTGAAGTGAATCTCACTTTTTTTCAAAACTCAATTTTCATTCTTTAGAGTGAAATTCTACTCCAAAGAATTTAAAGATTAAATATTAAAGAATTTTATCATAGCTGCAAAGCATAACTTTTGCATAATATAATCATTCTTTTTAATTATATTTTTCTAGTCTAAAAGGAAATCAACGGCGGTACTTTCATTTTAATTTTAAATGAATATTTAAATGCAATAAAATCTTACATTTTCTAGATATTAGGTGTTGGAATTAATTCGTAGCGTTTTTAATGAAAGAATGTTATTTATTTCACATGAGCATTAAAAAAATACATTAATGAAAGTACTTCCCATCACTTGTAAAACGCTACGAATTAATTCCAACACCTAATATATATGTGATACTATCTTGCAAAACTGCTTTTTTCTGCTGAACGCAGCAGAAAAATGTTCCACATATGGATCGTAATTTGAAAAAATTGTTTATTCAAGATTGCTTTAATAACCGTTTCTTTCCTTTATGTATAATCTTCTCGATGTAATCATGCTTGTTGCTACCGCATTTTCGCGAAAATATTCATCGAAAATATGTCATATACGTAGAGAATACAATTGATTCCATTTTGAGTTTATATTAATTAACTTCCATTTAGATTTGTGTTAGATTTTAAATCGGAAAGACGAACCATTACTTTTTGCTACGTTGAAAAATTCAATTGACAAGACTTTATTTTATCTTCAAGAGCCTACCTTTTGTCTGAAGATATTCTGACGCTACCTATTTTTCGTACATTGTCCTGCAGAGCAAGTTTTCTAACAAGTAGTATTCATTTCTATGAAAGTCGACACAGGAAGAATTAAGAATCCTGATACCTGAACTAAACGGTCCAGTCGAGCTTGTATTGGATTTGAAAATATTACGCTGCAAAAAATTATAAATTCGCTTAAAATCGTTACAAATACATTAATATATGAAATATCAGCAACTTGTTAAACTTGTAAAAATTAATCGCTCTTTCTGACATTAGATAAATTTCTTCGCTTATGATATATACATGCATTGTTAGCCTATGTGACAGTTTATCATTTTATTTTTTGCGCGAAGGAATGTAATTACAATATTTTTACAATGATATATAATATTTTAACAAATTAGTAAATTACAATATTTTAGCTCCTGCCGACCTTGCGTTGTAGTCTCGGCCATGTTATTGACAACGGTAATACATATCGGCGTGCGAGGTAAATAAAGCGTACTATCTCGTCGAGTGGAGACTGGAGAGCCGCCGAGCGGATTGGCGGAGCGCGCGTTTTCCGCGCGCCGGGATACTTCTTCCCGTGTAAGCGGATTCTTTGCGAATCATCGTCGTCGTCGTCAATGAAGCGCCAACGAGCGACATATCGCCGCTTTGTCGCAACTTGTCGTATGGAATATCGTTGTTGTTAAAAAAATGCGCTATGCGCGATATTGGGATAGGTCGATACTTCGAATTTGTGATAAAAGGCGCAGGCGTAAAACAAGCGAGAAATTCTATCCCGCGCGATGACACGCCGACAACACGTTGTCGAATAAAGGACGAAGCTGTCCTAAAAAGGACTCGCGCGGCAGGATGGTAGGCGGAGGGGTGGAAAAAGGGCGCACAACTCTCGCTCTCGCGCCCGCTCGTGGTACGCCACTGGCTGCAACTCTGCGTCCGATTGGTCGCCGGCCAATGCACGAACACACACATACACATAGAGTCGTAATACGCCGGTGTGCACTGGCGTGCACACACCAGCAAGTACTATCGGCGTGCGTACATCGACAATCCCTGGAGCGGGGTAGGAGGACGCGGGGAAGAGAAGCGCGATGCAAGGATCCGATTATGCCCGAACGTCGGCGGACGTGTCCGACGCGGAATAGTCGACAATTGACGCGATAGAGAGTTTGGCGAGAAGGTAGCGGCATATCGGGCAGGGGAGGGGAACGAGAGGAGACACGCTGTTCTCTCGGGTGAACCGCTTCCCCCTTTTTCAATTTTATCATACGATCGACGTTGCGACTCATACGTTGCTATGCAAAATTAGACGAAATCTTCTATAATTTTGTCATAGCTTTCTCTCTCTCTCTCTCTCTCTCTCTCTCTCTCTCTCTCTCTCTTTCTTTCGTTGCTCGGAATTCGAGATAAATTGCGCGAGGCAACGTTAACCGATGAGAACTGTAGAACATTAATCATGAGGCACTTGTCTCGGAATTCGCGAACAAAACGTGCGAAAATGTTTAATGCAATACTCGCGATTCTTTGTTGCTGTCGAGCATTTATATATCTTTCTAAGTGCATTTATCAGAATAAATTTCTCGATGTTTAGATCTCGTACCAATGGATGGCCCAGGCACGGTTACATGGGAGGAATTTCTCGAGAATGCAGAAAGGTTTCTTGTTGTTTCAGACAAGATATCGGACGGATGGAAGCTCTACGGGAACAAGGTACATCGTGTACCATCGAGTCACTTATTCGCGCGAATTACGTGCAGATCGAACGGACGCATAAAGTATGCAAATTGAATCATTCGATTAACATTATTAATGGATTTCACAATTATGCAGTCTATTCAACCGCTGTTTATTGTATAAACATGCGAAAACTTTGTAAAAATTTTACAAATTAGTATTTTAAAATTTTGCAATTTTTAAGTACAATTTTGTAAGATCTAAATGCTTAAAATGTGATATCGTTTGCGAACTCTTTTAGGAGAAGTTATTAATGATTACTTAAAAATATCTATTGCATACCCACAGCATCATCGCTTATTATATTTAAGACAAAAAAATATGTAGATCTGAAAATAATTTTGTTGGACTATTAAAATAATCATACAAAATGCATAAACGTATAATAAGCGATTCTGCAAAAAATTTTGACATTTTCAACAAAATTATTTTTAGATCTAAATTTTTAGATGCTTTAGTAAAATCGTTTTTTTCTATGTAAGCAAAACAACAGGTTATGATAATATACATACATGTTATGATAACATCAAAACAACATTTTTTATTTTTAAAAAAGCAATTTTTAATAATTATTTCGGAGCCATTTAGATGCCATTTAGAGCCATTTTGATATTATCATGACTTTTTGTTCTACTTCTCAAAGAACATATCAAGAATAACTTTATTTTGCCAAAAGTTAAAATATAATGATATCAAAGTTTGACTGTTTATTAATATTAATAATCAAAATAAGTTCATTTTGATTTTTTGAGTTAACTTTTGTGTGTTCCTTGGATTGAGTACTGAACGACATTTGACATTATAATTTTCATGTTTTTATCCATGATATGTATATTTATGTATAGGATATTCCTGGACAAGCTTATCTAGTTAGAAGAGCCAAGTGCTTCGTTCCAAGCGACACAACCGCAAGAAAGGACTGCTCGACCGACGACGATAACGATACCCAGGAGTTGCAAGTGAGATTTCGGCTAGATCCGCATGAGGCTGTTTCCACAAGCGAAATGCCTTTTATTATCGAGCATCACATTTTGTGGTCTATCAGCTATAGCGTCCCAGTTCTCTTCTTCAATGGTTGGAAATCAGGTAATCCCAAACAACTTATAAAATATTTGACAAAAATCCATTATCTGCTTCTTCGTAGAAAAGGATTCGTAGAAAAGAAAGTTTATACCACAAAAATTAAGTTAAGAGTTTTCTGAAAGGACACGGCAAGGGGCACCTTCTTGAAATTTTGTTTATGGGAATGTGCACAGCTTGAAATTGCGGTTGTCGGCTACTGTACATTGGTGCTACCCTGCCTCGCATGCATCGTTTTATTGATTATAAACGCAAACGTGTCCGACTATTTCAATATTCGCGCAGATATGTCGACGGTATTAATTAATCCCGGTAACGCGTTTCGGTGGAGCGGAAATGCGTCATGTCGTTTAGATTAATTAACACTGATCACCTTTTGCGTATTCATTATTGCGGGGAGAGACAATTGTCGTGAGACACGCGCATTCTTTTTTTACAACATTTTGTTCCTCTTTATTTTTTAGATTTCCCCGGGATTAACCCAGTGAGCGTAAATGAGGCTCAAACGGTCCATGGTTACAAATTAAATTACACGGAATTATCGCAAGCGATTCACCCTATCGTCGGCACGCCATTCCTGCAATTACATCCGTGTCTATCCCAAGGGTTGTTGCGGACCATGTCAAAGAGGTGAGGAACAGCAGGAAAATTAAGGGAAGAAATGAGAGCTGCGTCAAAGGAACTTTACACCCTTTTGAATAATTCTCATTATTCATCGTGACATAATTTTATAATTGCAGCAAGAATAAACTCGTCAGCTGGCTGAGCTGCGTGGCATCCACGGCCCTAAATCTCAAAATACATCCGGAGTATTTCAAATTGACTCACTGAAGCTCAGAACGAATATTCGAAGGAACAATTCAATGGAAACATAATAGTTTAGATTTTGTAAACCAGTAATGTGCAACCAGTATTCTTAATTTTCCAAAAAAATAAAATCAGAAAAAAATCTGATTTATTTTATTTACATAAAATGGAGAAAATGATTTTATATTTTTGATTTCCATACAACACATTTTATCCAAGAGACATCTTGAGATATTCAGAGAGATGTTCTCTGGACGTCATTAAGACATATCTTGGAGGTCTGTGCTATATCATCGTGTCGCAAAAAATTAACAGACGGGCCACATGCAGGCCACAAAAGTTGCGCATCACTGCTGTATAACCATTTCTGCGAGCATTGTTTTTTGTATTCCAACTTTACTGAAAGGAGAAAAATACTAGTCTGTTTTCTAAACTAGTACTACACTTTTGGAACTTAAAGTAAAATAGATATATATGTTTATTTGACGAAAGCGAGAAAGAAAGTTCTAGTACTCTCTATATAAAACAGACCTATATTTTATTTTTGTAAGCCCGTCGTTTAACCGATGACTCATACGTCAAAGAGACTTTCCTGTAAGTAATAAGCATGTTTCAAGAGATCGCCCTGCGTGCGGGAGCGTCTCCGTTCGATTGATCCGCGAATAATTCTAGTCACGAATATTCGATGGTGACGACGATTCGAGTGGAATTCGTTCGCGGTCGACAACGGCATGGCGGATTTAGCGTTGACCCATGGTGGGCCGAGCAAATTGCTCGCAATTGGGCGGCATTTCGAGTGCGCGCGCGAGAGGGGAAGCGGAGGGCAAAAAAGGTTGGAGCGTGGAAAAGAGAGCACGCAATTAATGCGACCGCGCGCGCGCGGCAATTAGTCCGCACAAGGACGTATTTGCGTGCGGCCCCGGGAATATTCGTTCACGACGAATGCGCAGTTTTCGTATGCGCGCAAGTACGTACAGTCGGCTGCGTTAACGATATCCGGTACAGGGCGGTTAACGCCACTTCTCGCCAATTTTATTTATGCTGTTCGCGAACGCGGGCAATGATCATCGAACCGTACAATTAACTGTATAATAAACGAAATGTAAATCTGAGGAAAAGTTTGTCCAAATGTAAAAGAATAAGAGACTGAAGATGTTACTGATGACACCATCATTAACACTGTTAATACTAAAGAAGTAGGTATCCCAAGCAGAATAATAATTAAGTCACGATAATTTCAAACTGATGTTAAAATGACGTTACAATGATTGAAAAATGATATTTAATAATTATTCTGGAATCATTTTGACATCATTTTGATATTATAATGACTTGTTCTGCTGGGTATCGAGCGGTCACATTATTGACCGTTCCTATTTTTTAGATTATATTTCCGTATAAAAAAATAGGATTCTAAAATTTGTTAATTTTTTAATAATAATTATGCTTTTTATAACAAACTGTTTGGTTTTTCATCACTTTCTTTATTTTTATAGTATTTTACTAAAGGCGCCTCCAGACGATATGTCCAATGTATAGATCAACTTTGTACACGTCGCTAAATATTGATTACATTCGATATGAATAATTATATATGTCATTTATGTGTATAATATTTGTTAATATTGGCATATACGTCTGGAGGTGCCTTAAGAAGTGTTAGTGGCCAAAGAAAAAGTCAACAAAAAATGAAAATGACTTAATTTTGATTCTTATAAGATTCTTATAAGTCAGAAAAAAATTTTATCAGAAAGTAATCACTTAATGTAATTGTGGGACAGAATTTCCGAAATCCTTATAAAATTTGTAATGAAATCCCGATATATAATTACATATGCAATTATGAAAAATAATTGTATGATATTAGATAAAAATTAATTATTATACTAAATATGACTTTATGCATAGTGAAGAAAATTATTTGTCATTAAATGAAATCATGTAATCTGTGGGATAATATTTCAGCTAGTGGTGACTCCTTTGAAATTTTATAACCAAAAATCATCAAATCATCAGTTTGACTTTCATGACGTAAAAATAAAGTCATTTTCTTGCAATGTTCCTTGAGTGCTTCTAATATTGGTGACACAGTTGATTGTAAGGCAACGCACCCATCCTCACGAACTCGCGCTCGTATATGCGCGTATTTCGCGTCGTCGCACGCGCGCCAGCGGTTCTCAACCCCGCTGAGCCGCCGCTCGATGGACACTTAATAATCCCGTTAGCCCCGTCCTCCGGGTTCGACCCGTGCGTGTGACGAGTGTCCGTCTCATGATACACGTGCCGCTTTAAATTACGCTAGCAAATGTACGATGTTATTCATGTGCGACCTCCATTCGGCTAGCTCTCGCAAAAACAAAATGTCGAGGTTCCTCTTTATTCTCAGCAGCGGAAAGAAGGGAATGGGAGGGCTGAAAGTGTGTTTCGACTGAATGGGGCAACTCGATCTGTTCGATACTCGTCGGGAGAATAATCGAAGTAGCCTTTGTATGTAACGTGGTCGCGAATCGCGGGGAACGCACCAACTTCCCATTTGTCAGACTTAAATGATGCTTGTTAATGTCGACTAGATATTTCCGTTATCATGAACTGAAAGATCAGATTACTCCCGTTAAAAAGAACAGTCATCTCGTCTTCGTGCAGTTATTAAATACCATTTATTGAATATTATTTATTTATATTTATATATGACTTTTTTAAATAATGAATTGATATTTATCAAACCGACTTTACTTTATCGTGAAAAATTATTATGTTGCAATAAATTATTTAAAAATGTAATATTAATGTTAAATATGTAGATAATTAACAATTCGTTATGCTAGTTTATACTAATGTTTGTATAATAATTTCTATATAAATATAATAAATAGATATATTTTTTAAATATATACTAATATATTCAGGAATCTTTTCATGCATCTTTTCATTTGCATAAAATTACTTTTTTGAAATTAACAAGCAATATGAAGATCAATTATTCCTATGCAAATCGACAAAATACAGATTATTGAGTAATAATGAGAAATTGTTTACATTATGAAATTTCCAATTCTCTCTCTCGATAATGCAGCGCGATGATATTTATTGCGAAATGAATATTTATTAATTTTATCTTTTGAAGTCTAATATCATATTCGATATTCGAGTCGTCAATGTACAAGATAAAGTCTTTTTAAGATCATGCATATTTTTTTGATATTTTCTTCTTATCATCTTTGATAAATCTTTGCCGTATTTTAAATGACTTTTAGAGAAGTTTTAAAAATATTTGTTTACGTTATCGTTATCGTTATTATTCAATATCATCAAAGCCGTCTATTTCAGCTACAAGGAAAGGACGGTTTTGCTGAAATATAAAAAAATTTAGTTAGATACAGATTTGAAAAAATAATTTTTTTTGGATCATTAAAATAATTATGTAGAATGCTCAAACTGATTGCTACTGTTACTAGAATATTAAAAAGTTTATTCATCTTGCTTGACATTCCAACGTAATTATTTTTAAGGCCTAATAAAATTACTTTCAGATTTAGCTAAATTTTAGATGCTACAACAAAATCGTTTTTTTTCCCTATATCATAAAATTCATGAATTACGCATACAAATTAGTCTCTCTCTCTCTCTCTCTCTCTCTCAGCCTCTCTCCCTCTCGATCTTTCTTAATATAGTTTGTATTTCTCAATTATAAATTCTAATTAATTTATGTTATATTATTTTTTATATAATATATTTTTTCTATTATATTTTCTATTCTATTATGATTTAAATATTTTACTATCTTTTTCTATTATTTGTTTTTCTTATTTTTATTGTTTTCTGTTAATTCTTTATCACTTTTTTGAATGTGTTTCTTAATATTCTTTATATTTTCATTATTTTTTTAAATCATGTATTATTTTTAATGTTTAAGAGAAATTCTAAAGCACCTAGTAAATATAACGATATCTATAATATTTCTCTCTCTCTCTCTCTCTCTCTCTCTCTCTCTCTTTCTCTCTCTCTTATCGCATCAAGATACAAATATAGCAAATATAGCAAACAGCGGAGCGAGTGTGATCCATCGAGGCAAGAAAGCTGTCGCTGGCTCCACCTACGAAGACACGTCGAGTCGAGGAGAGAGAGAAGCTCGTTTCCCCGTCACCCGCGCTTTTCGAACTCGCGCGGGCTCAAGCTTGAATTACCCTCGTACTATCGGTAGCGGTTCGCGATTACGCGGCTCACGGCTGTGCCTCACGTGCAAGTCGTGCAACAGGAGTGTAGCGTCGCGTCACATTGCGTCGCACCGTGGCATCACGTAGCCAGATAGACCCGCTGCCGGATATGGCAATTCTCTTCGTCCTACAGATGTACGTGCGATATCGTCAAATACCGCAAAGGCGAAACGGGTTTCTGCATAGCGTCTCTCATAAAGTGGAAGCGAAAAAAAAAAAGAGAGAAAACTTTCCCTCTTTTTCTTTCCCTCCATCGCGCGCGCGACGTCGTGTCCTGAAAATCGATAAAAAAGGGAGAGGAAGGGTTCATTCAATGAGAGAGGGGTGGGCGTTCCTCTTCGATCGCGCGCCAAAACGCGGGATGCTGCGAGCATCGAATTTCATTCGGCGATGACGCCCGGCTTTTCAGAGGCGAGCCAGAAAGAAACGCAACTTAAGTACACGTCTCTCGTTGCGAGCGTGCCTTATCGTTGATAGACGACGTCGCGCGGATTTCTTTTTACCTGTCGCACGTGAGCGAGATTCAAACTCGATGTACAGTTCGAGATACGCGAGAGCCAAGTAATCCGAAATTCAGGAGGAGACGTTTTATCGATCCTATCAACACGCCGCGTGGGCAGTGCCTCCTGACATCCGATTCGTTGGACGTCAGACGGAAATAGAGGCACCCAGATAGAATCCAGGGTGACAATGAATTCGCCATGGCGACCGCCGCCAAGTCGCGAGGTGGTGGAGGAGGGTAGAGCGCGAGCGCGGGATAATTCCCTCCCTCCCTCCCCCTCACCGCCCCTCGTTGAGGAAAACTGCTCCCACCAGGCGGTACGTACCGTCATCCGAGGACCGTTTGTGTTCGACCGTGTTGCGAAAGTCATTCACTCCCTTTTCGCGGGAGTTTCGCCCGCTTCCCGCCGGTTTTTACCGGATGACACCGGTGACGAGAATGAGGCGAGGGTGAGCGATAAACAATATCCCTCCCCCAAAAATCGCCGAAAGAGAAAGGCGCGACCTCCGGACGGTCTCTCTCCTTATTGAGGATATTTGCGCACACACACACACACGCACGCACGCACGCACGCACGCGCGTGTATGCTCGGCATGATTTTTTGCTTCATCCCGTCACGTCGATTTATGTCCGTCTATCTCTTTCCGTCTCTCTTTCTCTCTCTTGTTCCTTCTTCCTCGTCTGCGATTCTTTCCCGTCCCGCGCCAACACCATCCTTCTCTCGCGCGCTTTTCGAACGCGTGGTACGAACGTCGCACACACGCGCACGCGGATCTCCTAGTCCGCCACACCGCGCTATAAAGAAGCAACTTTACGCTGCGCCGCCACAGTCTCGCGATCGTCGCCGCGCCGCGCGCAGAAACGAGATCCTCGTTATCCAGGAGCGCGACCGATCGCGACACCGATGTACGTATTATGTATACGCACGCACGCATGTCCGTCCGTCCGTCCGCATGTCGTTCATTCGCTCGTCCACGCAACGCAGGGCGACCAGTTGCGCGCATATTATCGTTGTTGCTTGGTGTTGGTCTTCTCATTTTCTCAACCGTGCGCGAACGTTTTGCGACGCCGTTCGACACGATTCCGTTTTCACGGATGAGATGCATGGTGCGTTATTTTAGCCTTCTTTAATATTCGGTGAGCGACAAATCGATTTTTTTTTTTATTTTCGCGCTAGAACTCTCTTTCTGGCTTTTCGCCAATATAAATTTATTTTCTATATTTAAATTTCGAAACTGTACGCCAATTCGGCCATGAAAAACAGATCTTATGGGGTAAATGATACATCACGCGCATCATGCGTGAAACGGAACGCACTTTTAGAAACGCGTTCGGTCCGCGATACACAACGTCGACGTCAGGTAAATTAAATGGTGCCCTTTCCATTTGGTAGACACGAATGTCATTCTGTCTTTATTAGATCCTTGTTAATCCCGGGCACAATGGAGAAAATATTAGGAATAAATATTAAGATGTTTCAATTTATCAAAAACCATTTATTCCGGAATAATCAGTTTCTGATAGATTGAAGTCTTAATACTTATTCCTGTTCCTCATATTTCCTTCATTGCGCGCAGCCTCTTACTCATTCAATGATAGAGTGATGTCTGTGTCGCTAACAGCGAATTCGATTGGACGCACTAATGCACTAGTGTATATGAAAGCCGTTGTATTTATATTTTATTACAGATTAAATCAGAGACTGATTTCCAAGAA